GAGATGGAGAGTAAGCATTTATGGAATGCCTACTATGTGCTAGGTGCTGTGCTAAGCACTTGTTACAGATATTAACCCATTCGATCTGTGGTGTTGAGCCTCATTTATTTGGTTGAATCAGACATACTGAGAAATTGCCTCCTGTCATAGAGGTGTCCAAAATTCATCAGCTTTAATTAAATTCTTAAAGCTTCTCAGAGAGTAAATATGGCTGACTTAGAACATGCCTCAGATGTTTCTGAGTCCTAAGTGTTTCCTTATGCCAGCATCTGGGCCTTGGAATTTGGGAAATCAACAGGCCCTACAATTGTGATATGTGTCATTTGAATGTTTCCTTAACAATAACAATTACAATTGAAAACTGTCAAAAAGTTTTTCACCTGAAGTTTGTAACTATATTTATAGCCGAAAATTCCTCCCATTGACATCTTTTTTTCACACTTGAATATAAATCAGGTGTCTGTTGTAAACTGAGGCACCTGAGAGACCTTATAGGTCATGTGACCTCATATCACTGTGTTTGTGTCAAGAAGGGCTTTGGTTAAGAAGTCCAAGCTCTGTCTAGCTGCCTGTGGGTATGTGCATGTCTGCTGTATTCAATAAAAACTGCTCTGTGTGACACCTTTTTTCTGTCTGTGTTAGCAGGAACTCCTTCAATAGCAGATAAAGAGGTTTCCTTGGTCACTGGGCACTTTGCCTCAGGCTTCATCCTCAGCATTTATTGCCAAAGGTCTGCACTTCAGCAGCACAGGCATTTATTCATTTATTAGATACCTACTAGGTACAAGGACCCAAATGAAGTTGTCCCTGCTCTCAGGGACCTTCTCTTCTGCAGTAACCTGGGCTGCATGCAGGACTCATTCTGCTAGCAGTAGGTGTCCTGTTGCCTCTGCTAGAAAGGATTCTGTATAAGTCATGGCGAGAACTCTCATTTCAGTAGCAGGTAAAACTGATTTGTAGTGTTGATTTCCAACCTCTCTGACTTTTATGAATGAGAAAAAATTTCTTAGCCCAGAAACTTACAGTCTTGTTCTAACTTGTAGAGTGTGGAACCTGGTTTTATGTGTCCTTTAACCCACAGTTCTTTCCGGGGACATTTCCTCTCATTTGTTCAGCCTTGGTGCTCTGAGTCCAAGTTTTACAGAACAAATCCTTTTATTAAGGGGATTTGTTCTGTGAAGTTTGGATTTAGTCAAAGGGCCGCACTTGAGGACCTAGAGGGCCACATGTGGCCTTGAGGCCACAGGTTCTCCACTAGATTCTAGTCCAACTCCCTTGTCTTATGATGTAGAAACTGAAGCCCAGAGAGATTTAAGCGACTTGAGTAAGCTGACAAAGGTCATGGATAGCAGAGACAGGATTTGAACTCAGATCCGTGGACTCTAAATCCAGTGATGTTCCCTTGTCTAAGACCAGGTGACACCTATGAAGAAGAAGGATGTGGGTCTGTGTTGCCACTACTCTCAACTGGTGTGTGTAGGGCTCCTGCCTCCCCAGGAGGCTACAAACTGCACAACAGTTTGACGTCTTGTTTGGAGCCGGATTCCCTGTGATGCCAAGTTGGGGCAATGACTAGAGAATGCACTGAATAAAAAGGCAGCTGGCTGATTTTTTTTAAAATTAAGCCACAAACTTTTATAACGACCCCAAACTGATTTCTATTAAGGAGTTGGGTGGGGGGAGGGGTGCAGTGGGGTGGAATTGGAGGCGGGAAAGATGAGGATAAAGAACCAAACAGAAATATGGACAAAGGAAAATACTGACCTGAGCTTGGATTTGGAGATTGCTTGACTGAAAGACACAAAAACCAAAACATACTGTTGAGAACATTCATGTGCAACATTTCTTTTGTATCTTAAAAGCAATGCTTGGAAAGCAAAGGCCACGCACTGTGCAGGGGCTTCTGCTCTGCAGGGCTCAGAGTGGAATACTGAGACCCTACCCCAGCAGCCCCTTCATAGGCCCAGGCAGGAGAAAGCCCACTCCTCTGTACTTCCCACAAGGCCCACCATCTCTGAAGGAGACCATGGTATCAAATACAAGGCTGGGAGCTCCCAAATGATGGGGCAGTCCTCTGCCCTTCCAGCCTATGCCCAGAGGCTCAGTATCATCATGCTTCCCACTAGCACCAGCCTGGGGGAGCACTAATGGAGTGTTCCCAACTCTTTCCCCAGACTTCAGCCCAGGAAGCAAATGGCCTATCGTCAAGGAATGAAATCTGTACACTTACCACAGACGGCCACAGCATCCTTGGTTCTCCCCTTCTCCGCTGATGTTTTCGGTGTTCACAGACTCCGTCTCACTTGTGGGCATACTTGCTGTGGAGAGAGAATGAACATTTCAGAGAAAGGGATGGCTAACACCACAGGCTTGGATGGGCATCCAAAAACCTCCTCCACTTCATCATTCCTCACCCAGGAAATTTCAAAGCAAAAAAGGAACAGTGTCTTGAGGGGGCTTTTAGCAAAATGTTTGTGACAAGTAATTTGAACGTTTCCTCTTGCAAGGTTTCTTCCTTTAGTTCTTTCGAGGGCATGCTGTACAGTGAAAAAGCCCTTCTAAGTCCTACACTGAAGGGAAACCCCCGCAAGCCCAATAATCTGACCTTTACCAATAATACTCTCTTATCCCGCTCATCTCTTAAAGGGCAGTTATTTGTTATTGAACAAGCTTTTAGTATACACCCATTGGGTGTGAGGTTCTAGGCTAGGCAAGGTACCTCTCCAGACTCAATAGCATTCGGGTAGAGATGTGACCTGCTCTCTGCTATGGGGTTACTCCAGAACATGTTTTGTAAAGAGAATTTTTTAAGAAGTCACTGGAGGTAGATGTTTATGTAATAGAGGCTGGGGAGGGGGGGGTATTTTTAAAGATCCCTTTTGTAAATCAAAGAATCCTTAAAGAATACAAATAATTACCCCCTGGTTGATCTGTACCCTAAGATTTTTACTTTCAAACACGGGCCACCTCTGCTTCTGAGATCAACACTTGAAAGGGGCCAGAAAGCTGATGAAGAATGTGATAAGGAAGGCTACTAGGGGAAGAGGACCCCATTAGTATTTAAACTAAAGAGATACAGAGCACAAGAGAGTTCACTGTGGCTACCACTGCCACCTGGTCATTGGGAAGAAGCTCCTTTTGACAATGCTACCTAATGTGTCACCTCTGAGCTTCATTACGCACGGTCACAGGCTATACAGGAGGACGTCAAACTGTTGTGCAGTTTGTAGCCTCTTGGGGAGGCAGGAGCCCTACACACACCAGTTGAGAGTAGTGGCAACACAGACCCACATCCTTCTTCTTCATAGGTGTCACCTGGTCTTAGACAAGGGAACATCACTGGATTTAGAGTCCACGGATCTGAGTTCAAATCCTGTCTCTGCTATCCATGACCTTTGTCAGCTTACTCAAGTCGCTTAAATCTCTCTGGGCTTCAGTTTCTACATCATAAGACAAGGGAGTTGGACTAGAATCTAGTGGAGAACCTGTGGCCTCAAGGCCACATGTGGCCCTCTAGGTCCTCAAGTGCGGCCCTTTGACTAAATCCAAACTTCACAGAACAAATCCCCTTAATAAAAGGATTTGTTCTGTAAAACTTGGACTCGGAAAAGGGCCACACCCAGGGACCTAGAAGGCCACATGTGGCCTTGAGGCCACAAGTTCCCCATCCCTGGACTTGATGAATGCTAAGGTCCCTTTTAGCTCCGACGTCAAAATCTCATGAGGATTCCATTATTCCCACAATGGCCGACCTGGGTAAACCTGGCTTATTTTCAGCAGCTCCTCCTGTATAGCCTGTGACTGTGCGTAATGAAGCTCAGAGGTTTGTTATGGCAGCCTTGCCCTCCTAGGCGGACATTTTCCAAATCCTCAGAAAATTTGCTGCTACTCCTCTACTACCTTTGTAAACTCTATAAGCAACTTCAGTGGGATATCAAATTTTCCTTTTGATAGGCAGAGCAATAGTCGCCATCCTCCCACACCATCACAGAGTCTCGTGTCTGTAGCTAAATACAGAGGACTCCATTAATGTAGTTTGACTGTCCATCCCTGTCCTGTCACTCAGAGCCTAGAAACCTCCCTCAACCCTATCTTGTGTTCAGCACGAGAGCCATTGACCCTGCTGCACCATCACCTCAGCGTTCTTGGCTCTTATTTGTTGATAGACATCAGAGCACCAGTTCAAGGTGAACGAGGAAAATGATCCCCTATGGCATGAGATGTTTTTCATAGTAAATCTGACTAAGCAAGAGAATATTTTCTATAATTACAAACAGGAACCTAAAGTGGGTGGAAGGAACTCACTACTTGTCTGTTTGGTTGGACTCATTTTATTTTTATGAAAATATGATTCAATATTAGCTCTGCTCATGAAGGTATATTTGAGCATTGCTACTTATTAAGGGCAGCCGATGATTCAGTGGGAAGACTTATGTTCTACTAAAATTGATGGCTCTGCCAAGCTCAGACAGGAATGGAAAGGTTTAAGAAAGGAATTGAAAGCTATTTTTTGGTCATGATTATGCCCAATAAATTCTGTCTAATGGCTCAAAAACCTGAGCATAGTTATAACATCTAGTATATGACTTTGTCTAAAGAAATTTTCCAATGCATGTAGCTGTACTAAATAGATTCTATACATATTGTCTGTATATGTAATGTTATGTTTCCTTTTATATACCTATAAACATAGACTCTTCATGGTGAAGTGATATGCTGGGGATGTGAATTACATGTAAAATATTCTCTACCAAGGAAGTCAGACAGGGCCACTAAAACACAGCTGATAAGGATGATGAAAACCAAGGCAGTCATTTAAAAAAACATTTTTTTTGAGGCCAGCAAAAATTTTTGAGGCCGTGGAAGCTATTAAGATTTGTGCTATTTGTCCCTTCTCCATGTCTCTGGCCCCATCCTTCCCATCCACCCTTCCTCTGTTCACTGCCATCTTCAGAGCTCAGTCAGTACACACTCAGGTAACAGGACTTTCATATGGAGAGTCAAGCTGTTTTTATATTTCAGCCGACGTTGGCGTCGCTGGAACCGTTTCAGTCGGAGAAGATGTCGAGCTGCAGTGAAATCGGTTTCATTCTATTGGCTGGTGATCGTCTTAGTGTTCCTCAATACCTTGACGATTTCCTCTGAGCATTATAATCAGCCCGATTGGTTGACCCAGATTCAAGGTATGAGAAGAAAGTGTTTTGTATTTGGTTTGGATTTTGGATTACTAAGAGCACTGAACCAGGGTCTAGTTTTCTAGGACATTCAGAGTGAACAATTCTAATGAGTGCTAATATGAAACTTTAAGAAATCGCCTCCAGTCAGTGAGATCTCCATATACGTATCATGTGAACACTGTACATGAACCATCCGTGACTGAAGAATAATTGACATGATGCTTTAATCACGAGCGAGATACTACAGGTCCTTTCAGCCCCATTTTACAGCACAGGAAACTGAGACTCAGAAGTAACTCATGTAGCTCATCAGAAGCTAAATTTGTACCCAAGTCCTGCTGACTCCAAATCTTGAGCCTTCTCCAAGGGGCCATCCTCCTTCTGCTCATTGTACTCCCACTAGTGCCATCTTATCTACTCCACTGTGACCTTCCAGCCTGCTGAGGAAGGGTGCACTGTGCTGATGCTATCATTGATAACTTCTGTTAGGGGCTTTTTATTCTTGGGTCAGTTAGCATTTATTAAGGGCTTTCTACTTGCCAGGCATAGTGCTAAGCACCATATATACAAATACAAGCAGAAAGACAGACCATCCCTGGCCTCAAGGAGCTTCTTTACTAATGGAGGAGGACAATAGATAAAAGAAACTGAAAGGTGAGGAGATGAGAGAACAGGACCTGCTCTGAGGCATAGTCAAGAAAGTCTGGAGACTGACTCTGGATTGGAGGCTGGTGAGGAATGAAAAGATGACTGGTGTGGGCACTTCCCTGGCTGTGGGTGTTCTGGGAGGAATGAGCCAGTCAGAGGAGGGAGCTGCAGAGGTCAGGGCAGGTTGGACGGTCCAGCAGTGAGGTGAACTTGAGGTGTGAGAGGGCTTCTTTGGCATGCTAGAGAAAGTCTGGAGAGTCTGGGGTGAAGGGAATCTAGAGAGGAGGAGAGACTCACTTTTCAGAGACTTGAGTTTTTTAAAGGTCTGTAATAACATCAGCGTAGATATTTCCCCCCGCCTCAGGCCATAGCCCCTCCATCACTTAGGGGGTTCTGGAGAGCGTCTGTCTTTCTCCGTCACAAACGCAGTAATGATCCTCTCTGAACTTAGCAGTGCCACCTCTAAGAAAGCAGATGTACTTCTGCTGCTGCCTCTGTGGCTGTGTAAAGTCTTCCAGCTTGGTAAAATCGGCCCAAGCTCCTGTTCCCAGGGCACAGCCTCCAACAGCTCAGGGTTACCTCCTTGTCAAGGTGGAGCGTTCATCATCATCATCCTTGTTCTCAGACATTGACAGTTGAAGGGTCCCTCAGAGGTCTTCTAGTCCAGACTTCCTTGCTTTACAGGTGGGGAACTGAGGCCCAGAGAGGCAAGGTGACTTGCCCAGTGACTCATCACTAGTCTGTAGCAAAGCTAGGATGTGAACCCTGAACCCTGTTGAGGAGAAGAACATTGTCAGAGAGCATGTTTCATGTGACTGAGAAAAACAGAATCATGAGTGTGATCAAAAGGAGGTAAAATTGTAAATGCCAGTAGCTGAAATTAGGCTGAATTTAGGACCTAGCCTTTGGGACAAGGCTACATGAGGCATCCACTCATTTGACAGGGTAGTTGGGCCCAGAAGTGCTGGAGGCTACACTGTTCTCCCCCCAGGGTGCAGGGTATATTGGTTGTCAAAGATGGGCTACAGAAGGGAGTGCTCATTTTGAAAATGTGTCCAGTAGTCAGAGCACCCAGATTTTTGAACCATTTGCCTTTCCAGATATTGCCAACAAGGTTCTCCTGGCCATGTTCACCTGTGAGATGCTAGTCAAGATGTATAGCCTGGGCCTCCAGGCCTATTTTGTCTCCCTTTTCAATCGGTTTGATTGCTTTGTGGTGTGTGGCGGGATCACTGAGACCATCCTGGTAGAATTGGAAATCATGTCTCCTCTGGGCATCTCTGTGTTTCGGTGTGTGCGCCTCTTGCGCATTTTCAAAGTGACCAGGTAAGACAGCTGGTGCTGCATCCCCTCCCTGAAAAGGGTTTGAATGTTTGAATATGCACGTGTGTGTGTGTGTGTGTGTGCATATATGTGCGCGCACACATGTGGAGTCTGTCTTAACTCGTGTTTTCATTCATAGGCATTGGACATCTCTAAGCAACTTGGTGGCATCTTTGTTAAACTCAATGAAGTCCATTGCTTCCCTGTTGCTCCTGCTTTTCCTCTTCATCATCATCTTCTCATTGCTTGGAATGCAGCTGTTCGGGGGCAAATTTAACTTTGATGAGACCCAGACAAAGAGGAGCACCTTTGATAATTTTCCTCAAGCTCTTTTAACAGTGTTTCAGGTAAAGTTTCTCTCTTGTTGGTCTCACCATTGATGGAGGACCAGCTGGCTGCAGTTGCCGTGCTCGGGGCTAGGGCCGCCAACTGAATAGTTACGGCTCCTCCAGGGGCTTCTCTTCTGAGGGGATGTGGCATCTGCACAGACATGAGGGTTTGCAAGGAGAGTGGGCTAAGAGATGCGGGCATTCACAGAGACCTTAGGTAGAAGGCGTGCCAGTCTGGACTGATAAGAGAAAGTAAGAGGGCAGTGATGGCCACTGAGACTGGAAAAACCCAATGGGACCACATTACAGAGTTTACATTTTACCTTAGAGGAAATGGGAAGCTACTTGAGTTGATTGAATAGGGGAGTCAGGTATAACTGTATACAAGAGAAATTACTTGGACAGGAGTGTGGAGGCTGGAACTGTGAGAATAGAGAGGCTTAAGTCAGGGAGCTCATTTAGGAGGATGATGCAATACTGTGCTGAGAAGGCTTGAGGAAGGCCTGGACAGCCGGGTGAGTGGGGAATCAGAGGCCAGAGCCATTGTGAAGGGAGAAAGGGCAAGATCTGGTAACATATTGGATATGTGGGGGGAGGAAGAATGAGTCTAGAACTCTGAGGTTCTAAACCCAGGAGAATGGGAAGATGAAGGTGTCTTTAACAAGATGGGGAAGTTTGGGGGAAAAAAGGTGAGATTTTAGGGGGAAAGAGGGTGAGTTCAGTTTTGGGCAAAGCAAATGTGAAATGTCTCTGGTACACTCAGGTTAAAATGTCTGATAGGCAATTGGTGTTGCAAGACTGTGGCTCAAGGGAGAAACAGGATATGTCATCTTATTTGGGAAGTCATTGTTAAGCAGGAGAGCTGAACCCACAGGAGCCAATGAGGTTACCAGCAGACAGAAGAAATTAGAAAAGAGGAAGTCCCAGGACACCAAACCTTTGGGAACAGCCACAGTCAGGGGTGGGGAGAACCATTTAGAGAAAGCCATCAAGAAGGAGGTTGGAATGTCATGGTAGGGGAACAGCTGTCAGGCCCATTTAACTAGATCAGAGAGTATGTAAAGGTGAATGACATGAGCTAAGACTGGAAACATAAGTGGCAGCCAAATTGTGGAGGACTTTCAGACTGTGGAGCTTGTTCTAGAGGCAGTAGGGGAACCCTGGAGATGTTTTAGTAGGGACCTGAACTAGCCAGACCTGTGTTTGAGGAATATCGAGTTAGCAGCTCTAGGAAAGATGGATTGGAGAGGAGCGGCAGCAGAACCAGGGAGACTGGTTAAGAATCTAGAGCAGCAGTTCCTAGGTTCCTAGGTCAGGAGCTATAAGACATCTCCTTTCCAGAGGCCGTCCAAGTGAGAGAGAGAGCATGAGGCCCCCAGATGGACAGCGAGGCCATCTTGTCTCTTCAGGAGACAATTACCATGGTTCTGCACCTTTTAAAATTGTCACTCTATGAATAAGTTACTGCCCTGGTGCATCTATATCCTGGAATTCATATGTTGTATATCTTATTCCATTTCTCTGTGAGATGCAGCTTTCACATTTATGATTAAATTTAGCTTTTGTCGTTAAACTTGCTTTAGTCATCGCGTTATTTCATTCTCTGAGGATGTTAATGCAAAACAAACGACTAGAAAGTTCATTCCTTCCAAAATGTTGGATAATGTCATCTTCCTGAAATATGGTGCCTGCTCTCAGCTAATTTCTCTGAGTAGGCAGGTCTTATGGTCCCGATTCAAGTAAAATGATAGAAAGCAACATGCCTGGAAAACACTCATTCTCCAATGTTGCCATTAGAAGGGCGATGTTAAACTTGCCTACAGGAGAAGGAGCTGCATTTTTATCCTGGCTCTGAATCAGATTCCTGTGTCTCTCTTTTTGTCTGGCCTGCACAGCTGTAGGCTGAGCGTATGTGGCATTCATTAGATCATGCAAGAAAGCCAGGTTATGTCACATCCATACCCTACCCTGCTCTGCTCCTTAGGCTGGCATCAGGGGAGAAGAATCAATAAAAAGAGTAGGCCAGAAGTCAGGAAATTGGGGTTTCATCTTCCCTTTGCTACTACCTCACTGTATGACCTTAGGCTTATAATCCATCTCTCCAAGTCTTTTTCCTCATTTGTAAAAATCAAATAGCTGTACTTAGATGACAGCTGAGGTCCTTTGCAGTTCCATCTCTGTAGAATCAGAGGACCTCAGAACTTGGAAGGGGCTTGAGGCATCATCTCTTCAGGATATCTGAACATTACCCCTTGCCCCGCCAAGATCTCTGATGGTTAGCTGTCCAGCTTCTATTTGGAGCTCACCCTCTAGCAAAAGATAGTCAATCACTTCCCGAAGCAGCTGTTTCAACACCAGACAATTCTAATTGCTGAGAAGTTTTCATGTATTCTAACTAACTATGTTCCCCTATGCCTTCCACATATTTGCCACAAAATGGATATTCAGATGAATCTGTTGAAAACTCCCTAGTTTAGTGAATTTTAACGAGCTCTATTATTTTAGATTCTCATCTGTTACAGGGAATGACTGACCTCTGATTTTCTTGGTGTAGAGGATTCCCAATGAAGAAATTCTCTCTACCAATTGCTTTTGGCATCGGTGTTGCCATTTATAGTCTTAGAGAATTGCCAGAGGCAGTGAGAAATTAAATGACTTGCCCAGGGTCATGCCACTAGTATGTGTCAGAGCTGGGACTTGAACCCCCATCTTCTAAACCCCCCCACTAGCTCTCTGTCTCCTCTGCCATGTTGATTTTCAGTAATATAACTTGTACAAATCTTATTCTGAGCCCAATGAGGAGTGGATTGGAGAACATTTCTGGGAAACGTAATAATCTCCAGCACCCTGAGGATTATGACAGAGAAGAGGTCCAGAAGGCAACAGGAGGATCTATGGTTGGATGTGGGTAGAGGCAGCATGGTACAGGGGAAAGATCACTGACTCTGGAGTCAAAGGACCTGGATTCAGGTCCTGACTTGGACTTTTGCCTCACGGGTGATTTTTGGCAAGTCATGCATCTATCCAGGCTTTAGTTTCCCCATCTGTAAAAAGCAGAGGTTGGACTTAGATGGGCTTTGAGGTTTTTTCCAGCTTTAGATCTATGATCATATGATCCTGTGAAGTTATGGGGACACAAGTTTTTATTTAATATTAATGATTAGATTAATCTCAATGATTAGTTGTCCAAAGGACTTAATCCAGAGGGAATTAGCTCCTTGCCAGTAGAGGTATTAAATCAGAGGCTGGATCACCATTTGCCAAACATGTTATTGATAGCAGTCCTACAGATTGGATAGAAAATTGGTTTTGAGCAGTAAGGTCCTTTTGAACTCTTCAAATTCTGTGATTCTTATAAAGTACTTGATACTATTCAGAAATGCATCTTGGTTATGAAGAGAAGAATCCACCACCCACAGCAAAATTATTTTTCTCTAGTCTGAATAAAAATGGGAAGGTATATTGGGAATTGTTATTCAGTCATTTCCAACTCTTTGTGACTCTGTTTGGGATTTTCTTGGCAAATGTTGGAGTGATTTGCCATTTCCTTCTCCAACTCATTTTCCAGATGAGGAAACTGAGGCAAGGAGGGTTACTTTACTTGCCCAGGGTCACACAGCTAGTAAGTATCTGAGGCCAGATTTGAACTCAAGAAGTTGAGTCTTTCTGACTCTGTGACCAGCACTGTATCCACCACGCTACCTAGTTGTCCTGGTATATCTCAATAAGATGATCCTTGGGAGCTCTTCAAAACTACCTTCTTAATATGATTTAAGCAAAATCCCTTTGGCTAAGCCTGATAGGTCAGCTTAAAAGATCTGTTAACCAAAGGGCTATATTGTCAGACTTGCACAAACTTGCCTGAGGGTTAGCAATGATGCTCCTGATGATCTTGAGCACCTGTACCCTAAACACATGTGCTGTCTCCACCATGGGTCATGTTTTCATGTTTTAATTGAAATTCTTTGTTGACCATTGCCTATTTTCTCTTAGTCTTAGCCTGTAGTAATCTAAATAACTTCAATATTTAACCCACTTGTGATTGCATTGGTATGAGTGCAAATCATAACCTCTCTCCTGCTTAGAAGATGCTTTAACAAGAGATCATCTAAATAGCAAGCTGTAGTAAGGAGCTAAAATAGCATCTCTTAACTGAGTGGAAGAGAAGGAACTGGTAGAGATTAGAGATTTTGTTTTTATTGCTGTCAACATTTATCTGAATTCATTTTGTAATGGGTTGACTTAACCCTAAGGATTCTGGGTGAGAGGAGATTGAATTTGAAATTGCAAGCCATGTAGTCTAGACTGTTCGGGTTCTATAACTATGTGTGGGGCATTGGGAATACATTGTATAAAAAATGTGTAGAGCTGAATCTCTGTTTTCATTTTCCATCAACTCTATGCATTGCATGGATTCATGTAGTGTAAAACATAGTGGAAAAGGTTTGGGCATGTTCACGTGGCCTCTGAATATCTTTTCTTTCTTTCTTTCTTTTTTTTTTTTTTAGGCAATTGGGGTTAAGTGACTTGCCCAGGGTCACACAGCTAGTAAGTGTCAAGTATTTGGTCTGAGGTCATATTTGAACTCAGGTCCTCCTGACTTCAGGGCGGTGCTCTATCCCCTGCATCACCTAGCTGCCCCTACCTCTGAATATCTTTAGGAGTCAAAATATTTGTAAAATAATAAAATAGGTCTTGGTCCTCTTCTTTCCATCGGTGACAACTAACACTTGCATCTTAGATTCTTACAGGTGAAGACTGGAATGCCGTCATGTATGATGGAATTATGGCTTATGGGGGCCCATCTTCTTCAGGAATGATAGTCTGTATATACTTCATCATCCTCTTTATTTGTGGTAACTGTATCCTTCATTGCTGACCAAGAGCAATTGTAGGGTTGTGATGGTATAATGATAGTTCATTACTTTGATCAGTTCTTTCATATTATTTATTCATTTTAATTCCCTTTCATTAAGGACATAGAGGAAGTGAAATTCCCAGTAAATGTTTTAGAATTAAAGCTGCCTTGGTATAAGAAGTGGTGGAGGAACAAGAACCATGCCTTGTGCCATGTGGGCAAGATCAGTGGTACCTCCCTAGCCCATGTTCTATGACCAGCAGAGACATCAAAAGATGTTTGTAGAAGGGTATGGTTGTACCCTATAACATCAACATGAGTTTGATATTACAGATAACTCTAATAAGGTTCTATCATCCTCAAATTTATCTTAGTCCCTCCTAAACCTATTTATATCTTCATCCCGTAATTCCTATTTTGGTGATGAATTCTAAGTCCCTACAAGGGCTGTATCAAATACCCCTTTCCAATTTCAATGGGTACCCTCGAGTTCTACTATTTTGAGATTTGATGAAAAGCTATGTATTCCCTTTCTTCTTATCCATATTGACCTTATAAATTTAATCCTGCCACATTCCTTCATCTTTCCTGGCTGAAGTAAGGGCTGTCCTACCAAGGAATTTCCTCCATTTTCTGGGTCATTTTAGTTGCCTTCCTCTGGATTTTTTATTACCCAATTATGCATTTCTTGCATAATAGTGACCAGAACTGTGAACAGAACCCAGGTATACATATACCCTAATTTTGTTCAAGGATAGTTTTCTGTTTTTGATATCTCTCTTGATGATGCCTAATTTTCTTGACATCTTTAAAGGGCTACTGTGATACACTAGACAAGAATTATCCACAGTGCTTCTCCAGGTCTCTTCCTGGGTTGTAGCTGACAGCTTGAGACCCATAAGTAGAGTTAGGATGATTGTCTTCTAAATACATTATCTTACACTGGCCCATGCTTGAGATTACCTGCCAGGTAGCTATCATTTGATAGCTTGAAAGTTTCAATCATGAGCTTTTCTCCTCTAGATTGTTAATACAGATGCAATAAAAATTGTTCCCAATGTTGATTGCTTACTGTTATGACTTCTTCATCTAGAGAAATATCTGTTTAAACTTTCCTTTTGTTTTCTGTCTAAGCAAGTTTACTATCCAGACAAAATATTCCTCTCAATCCCATAACAGATCAATATTTTAAATAAACTTTTGTGTGAAGCCATACAAAAGACTTTTTCAAAGTCAAAATAAATACTAAAATATGGTTTACTTCCTCAAGGAATTGTAGTAAGAATAATTGGTTGTTTTTATGTGACAGTTTACAGCTTATAAAGTGCTCTTCACACATCATCTCCTAGGACCCTAGCAGCAGGCCTCTGAGGGTCAGTAGCGTCCTTATTGTTCCCATTTTATCCATGGGGGTATTGAGAATTCAAGTGACTTTTCCAAGATGATAAGACTAGTTAGTGAGAGAACTGGGATCTGAACTCAGCTCCTCTTATTTCAAAGCAGGAACTTCTTCCACTGTACTATGCATGCTTCAAGAATGATTGCAGCAAAGTCAACCAATGTATATAAGGCACTTGAATAGGCCCTGAGAGTCCCAGGACAAAATGACATCATCCAGGCCCTATGGAGCTGACCTTCTTTTGGGGATGAGGATTTGAGTGTTTTGATATATGCCCAGAGAAGTACAGAACAGTGTAGGAAATGATGATGACAAAGAAGTGATCAGACAAGGACTCCAGGATTTGTGGAAGATGGAGAAAACACTCTCCTCTGGAGAAATGAGGGAAGGCCTCCTGGAGGAGGTGATATCTGAGCTGAGCCTTGGGAGGAAAAAGAGAAGAGGGAGAGATGGAAGTGTGGAGGGGGCTTCTTGGAAGCTGGGATGTTCTCTAGAGGAATACATGAAGGTGACCCTGTTGGTGATTGTAGATTTCACCAACTTTGTATGGAAGTTTCTACTCCTGGAAGCTTGTCTGAAGCCCTTCTTATGAGAGTCTCATGACTGTTATTCATCCTTCATTTTTGAAGAGGACCAATGACATCACAAAGTGACATCTTGACTTACTCATGAATTGGATTAAAGCAAGACAGAGTTGTACAAAGTCATCAGCCTCACCCTCTTCCAGAATCATCAAAGTCCAGTGGCAAGAAAAAAAGTCAAGATGACTGGCAATGGCCTGGGATGCAGTGAATGACATATAGTAGTTTGGTTTAAAAAGAAGCATTCTGCAGGTGTTTTACAAATTCATACTGATGGGGAAGCTAGGTGGTGCAGTGTATAGAGCACCAGCCTTGGAGTCAGGAGGACCCGAGTTCAAATCTGACCTCAGACACATAACACTTAACTAGCTGTGTGACCCTGGGCAAGTCACTGAACCCCATTGCCTAGGAAAAACAAAAACAAACAAATTCATACTGATATGCTTTTGGACTCAGAATTAGAAAGGTTTTTGCCATAATAATGGGACAAATTATGTCAAGTCAAGTCAACAAGCATTTATTCAACACTTAACTGGATGCCTGGCATTATGCTAAGTGCTGCCTTACATCCTCCTCTAGTGAAGAATTTGCCATCTCTGAAAATCATACTGGGTCCACCGACATATCTATGCGTGTGTAGCATAACATACAGAATTTAGCAATTAAATAATTAAAGAAGTTAATGGAAAACACAGTCAATATAGTTAACATAGCTGATCTCTGGAGCAGATGTTAAAACAGTGCAGTCACATATATGTATTAATCTACATCTTTTATGTCAGAGTTTCATGTAGCTAAACATAGTACACAAAACTGTAATTCACTGTGCATGATCATATCATAAATGACAATATTGTATAAATAAAGTAAAAAATACAATCCTCTTGTAATAAGTGACACATAGAACATATGAAAGAGTTGTCTGCAGCAATCAAATATATAGGCCGTGTGCAGAAACATGGCATATGAATTGCCTATGTAACACAGTAGCCATCAACCAACATTTCAGTGCATTGTCTGCTGTGTGCCTGGTGTGAGGCACCAGAGATATGAAGACAAAAAAGTGCAATGATCCCTACCCTCAAAGAGCTCACGCTCTATGAAGAGAGACAACATATACACAAATACCTCTTCCACCTCTTCCCAAACTCTGCCCAATCCACCTTTCCTGCCTCATTGTACATTTCTTCGCATCCTGCGCTCTGAGGTCCAGCCAAATTTGCCTTCTCTCTGTTCCTCACATACTGTACTCCATCTCCCTTCTCTGTGTCTTTGCCTTGGCTATCTCCCATGCCTCCCATGCCTTCCTCATCTCCACCTTAGAGAACAGATGGAGAGGACATGGAGGAAGAAGGGAAGGGGGGCATTTGAGAGCTGGCTGTTTACCATCCCCTGGTGTACCTTCCCAGGAGAGGCTTATGTATTAGAAAGGTTTTTGCCATAATAAAGGGACAAATTATGTCAAGTCAAGTCAACAAGCATTTATTCAACACTTAACTGGATGCCTGGCATTATGCTAAGTGCTGCCTTACATCCTCCTCTAGTGAAGAATTTGCCATCTCTGAAAATCATACTGGGTCCACCGACATATCTATGCGTGTGTAGCACAACATACAGAATTTAGCAATTGAATAATTAAAGAAGTTATGGAAAACACAGTCAATATAGTTAACATAGCTGATCTCTGGAGCAGATGTTAAAACAGTGAAGTATGTACCTATTCTAAAGAGGTTATCATTACTCAAAATAGTAGAAACTGTTGTTTTAAGATTGCCTTCAATTCCAGTTTGTGAGCTTTTCAAGAAAAAGACATGTTGTTCCTATACATCAAGCTATTTTAAAAAGAAAAGGGAAAAGTGGCCACAGTTTGGTGATCCTTGTTCACTAGATCTGGCTTTTGTAACTTTTGACTCATCCTGAAAATCACCTGCACCTCCAAAGGAGAAAACTTGGAGCACACTACCGATGTCTTTCAGAAGAGTGACCAATGGGGTGGAGCCAGGATGGCAGAGTAAAAGCAGTGACTTGCTTGAGCTCTCCCCCAAACCCCTGCAAATACCTGTGAAAAAATGACTCTAAACAAATTCTAGAGCAGCAGAACCCACAAAAAGGCAGAGTGAAACAAATTTCCAGCCCAAAACAACCTGGATGGTTGATGGGAAAGGTCTGTTGTGCCAGACCGGAAGAGGAGCGCAGCTCAGCATGGACCATGCTGGCAAAGACAGGTTTCCCAGCAAACTTGGAGGAGGTCTCAGGGGACTGACTCACAGACAGGTGTGACAGTTTCCAGACTTCTCAATCCACAAATGCCAAAGACAATTTAGAAGGTCAGTAGGAAAGGTCTGTCAGACCTGAGTGAGAGAGGAGCATGGCCAGCCCCCTGGCACAGCCCTGGGTCAATGGTAGTGACTGCTTCTGGAGCTCTCAGCCCACAGACAGTGGTGGGGAGGGGGATCGAGCAGCTAATCAGAGGCGGATTGCAGGGAACTCTTTGCTGGAGCTGAGGCAGGATTCTCTTGCTTTGCCCATGCTTGCATCAGGTTTGCAATCCTGGGTGGCCGTCCTGGGGCAAGGAGGAGTGCTGGTGTGGCAGAGCTTGTGGTGGCAATGGAGAGGGAATCCTCCTCACAGTTCCAAGGCAGAAAAGAGTGATTGTGTCCACTCCTAGACCAGAGCACAGGCCAGAAAAGGAGTAAGCACCTTTCCTTTGATCGTACCACCTTGGCAGAACTGAACATTTACAGGTCCCTAGAAGTCTCTGAAAATAGCTATACAAAACCCCTGAAGCTTGGGACAGTACACCCTCCACACTGGAAGCAGAGCCCTACCTTAACAAAGAGTTAAAAAGTCAAGTAATTGACTGGGAACATGAGCAAACAGAGGTAAAAAACTCAGACTAAAGAATCTTCCTTTGGGACAAAGCAGATCAAAACATATAACCAGAAGAAGACAACAAAGTCAAAGCTCCTACATCCAAAGCCTCCAAAAAAATATGAATTGGTCTAAGGCCATGGAAGAACTCAAAAAGGATTTTGAAAAACAAGTAAGAGTAGTAGAGGAAAAATTGGGAAGAGAAAGGAGAGTGATGTAAGAAAATCATGAAAAAACAGTCAACAGCTTGCTAAAAGGAGACCTAAAATAATACTGAAGAAAATAACCCCTTAAAAATAGACTAACCCAAATGGCAAAAGAGGTCCAAAAAACCAATGAGGAGAAGAATGCCTAGAAAAGCAGAATTGGCCAAATGGAAAAGGATGTCCAAAAGCTCACTGAAGAAAATAATTTCTTAAAAATTAGAACGGAGCAAATGGAAGCTAATGACTCTATGAGAAATCAAGAAATTATAAAAACAAAACCAAAAGAATAAAAAAATAGAAGACAATGTGAAATATCTCGTTGGAAAAACAACTGACCTAGAAAATAGATCCAGGAGAGATAATTTAAAATTTATTGGACTACCTGAAAGCCATGATCAAAAAAAGAGCCTAGACATCATCTTTCAAGAAATTATCAGGAAAAACTGCCCTGATATTCTTGAACCAGAGAATAAAATAGAAATTGAGAGAATTCACTCAGCACCTCCTGAAAGAGATCCCAAAAGGAAAATTCCCAGGAATATTATAGCCAAATTCCAGAGTTCCCAGGTCAAGGAGAAAATATTGCAAGCAGTCAGAAAGAAACAATTCAAGTATTGTGGAAACACAATCAGGGTAACACAAGATTTAGCAGCTTCTACATTAAGGGATTGGAGGGCTTGAGATATGATATTCTGGAGGTTAAAGTAGCTAGGATTAAAACCAAGAATCACCTAACCAGCAAAATTGAGTATAATCCTTCAGAGGGAAAAGTGGACATTCAATAAAATAGAGGGCTTTCTAGCATTCTTGATGAAAAGACCAGAGCTGAATAGAAAATTTGGTTTTCAAATACAAGACTCAAGAAGTATGAAAAGGTAAACAGGAAAGAGAAATCATAAGGGACTTATTAAAGTTGAACTGTTTACATTCCTACATGGAAAGATGATGTTTGTAACTCATGAGACCTTTCTCAGTGTTAGGGTAGTTGGAGGAAAGATATATATACACACACAAACACATACACATGCGCACACAGAGCACAAGGTGAGTTGAATATGAAGGGATGGTAAGTAAAAAATAAAATTAAGAGTTGAGAGAGAATTGTACTGGGAAGAGGAGAAAGGAAGAAATAGAATAGGGTAAATGAGAACATAAAAGAGGCAAGAAAAAGCTTTTACAGTAGAGGGGAAGAGGAGGGAGGTGAGAGGGAATGAGTGAATTTTACTCATTCCAAATCATTGAGTTTAGCTTAAGGAGGGAATAACATACACACTCAATTGGGTATGGAAATCTATCTTACCGTACAGGAAAATTAGGGGGAAGGTGATAAGAGAGGAGAGGATGATAGAAAGGAGGGCAGATTGGGAGAGGGGGTAATCAGAAGCAAACACTTTTGATAAGGGACAGGGTCAAAGAAGAGAATAGAATAAACCAGGATGGGAGGATAGGATGGCGGGAAATATCGTTAGTCTTTCACAACATGACTATTATGGAAGTATTTTGCATGACTACACATATATAACCTATAACAAATTGTTTGCCTTCTCAATGAGGGTGGGTAGGGAAGGAGGAAGGGAGAGAATTTGGAACTCAAAGTTTTAAAAATGAATGTTAAAAATTGTTTTTACATGCAACCAGGAAATAAAATATACAGACAATAGGGTATAGAAATCTATACTGCCCTACAAGCAAATAGATGGGGAGGAGGATAAGGGAAGGGGGGGTGATAGAAGGGAGGACAGATTGGGGGAAAGGATATTCAGAATGTGCACTGTCTTAGGGTTGGGGAGGGGAGAGATGGGAAGAAAATTTGGAATTAAAAATCTTGTGGAAGTAAATGTTGAAAACTAAAAATAATTAATAAAGAACTGATAAGTAGAAGGGAAAAAAAAAAGAGTGCCCAAGCTCACTCACTTGCGGTTTCCAAATAGGATTTACAGTTGTGAGCAATAGGCCTAGCCCCTCCATAAAATAAGCAGATAGCTTCCTAGGGATTTACTTGGAGAGGTGGTGCTCATGTGACTATCTGTCTAGACCCTGACCTTGTTTACTACGCAATCATAGCACTAGATAGTCACATCTTAGATGTGTGTGTGATTTATATTTCACATCCATACATATCTGTTTATGTATGTATTTTTATGCACACACACACATTTCCAAAGGGACATTCTCAATTCTTGTGCAGCCTTCAAACAGGCGGTGTGACACAGTAGAGAGAAAGCTGGCCCAAGATTCAGGAAGACCTGGCTTTGGGTCATGCCCTTGCCACACACTTTGGGAGTCCGCTTATCTCTCTGTGTCACAGGCAGCTTTCTAAAACCAAATGTGTTATGGAGAATTTGCTTGTCTGCCACAGTATGGGAAGTTTCTTCACCGTTGAAGTCACAGATTCAGTCCAAAAAAAGATTAATATCAGATTGACATTTCATCTCTTTTTCTTTATCACTGGGCTTTTCTAACTTTCCAAAGTCATACAGTACCATGTGTAGTCATCAGATGTAACACCTGCCTGGGAGCCAAGCTGGTGTACTCCTGCCATTGCTGATTTCTACAATGACCAAAATAGAGCAAAATTGAAAGAGTATGTTGTATCCTTAAAATGATTTGGATTAGATATTCTGTTGAATGTTTTCTTGGCCATTGCTGTGGACAATTTGGCTGATGCTGAAAGTCTGAATACTGCCCAGAAAGAAGAAGCAGAGGAAAAGGAAAGGAAGAAGACTGCCAGGTAAATGGAGTCAAGCCTAGAAGTCTAGGTCCAGGGGAGAGGCAGATCATCTGGGTGAATCTGACTAACACCCCAGTCTCTGTAGACTTGTTTCCTCATCTGTCAAAGGAAGGGTTAGAATAGGTGACCTCCAAGGACTGCCACTGAATCCTGGCTGAAAACTCAGGAGGTCTGACCATCTAGTATAAGCCATGGGAAAACCCCAGTTACCTTGAAGTGATAGACCCCTGTCACTGGCCCTGAAGCATAGTGAGTTCAAAGGGTGTCTGTCTCAAATGCTTGGTATAATTGGAAATCAGGACTAAGAAAACCAACTCTTAAAATGAAGCCAAATATTTTGGTTCCATTACCTCCGAACTTTAGATTGGGATTTCACATATTCTTGTGTTTAAAGAATTGGTGTTAGTCTTAGTATCATAAAATAAATTATGTGATACGCGATATTTGTCTTTGGGATGGGAATTTCATTAAAGTCTCCCTAATGAATCTAGCACATAGAGACTAATGGAAAGTTCTTGGGTAAAGGAAGGTTATTTTTTCATGGTAAATGTTGTTTCCAATCAAACCTTGTCTTTACATGTAGCAGCTTACTTTTTGACATTTGTTTGTGTTCTCTTCTCTGTAGAAAAGAGAGTCTGGAGAATAAAAAGAATGACAAGCCAGAAATCAACCCGATGGCTAACAGTGATCACAAGGTGTTTGTTCCAGAGTGTTCCTTTATGTTTCATTATGACGGACTGTGCTGTTGCTGGCCCTCAGGGCCTCAAGGCAATCATTGTCCATGTATGGTGGGCGCTGTTGGTCATACCACCACTGTCTGTGGTTGAAGTATCAAGGTGTAATGAAGCCTTGATAAGTCAGAGCATGCAGTAGACCCTTACTGACTGTGTGACTTCCATGCTGTCCAGCATTGAGTGATGGGACTGGTCATGGTCACTCTGAAAGGACTGAGGGCGGGATTGCCAGCCTAGATCTACTACATCTTGGAGTCAGAGCCTTAGCAGCTTGAGGAAAGGGTGGGAGATAAGAAACACTCACTAATGCTTGATGTCTCCTAAGAAGACATGGGTGGGCTCAGATGGCTTTACGCAGCAGGTATACTCAGTCATTCTAGGGAGTTTCTTCCTTTTCATTTGGTTGCTGGAGCAAATACTTAATTACTCCCAGTTGAGCAAAGTTTTTTCAGAGTTACATCTCTTCCTTTTTTGTACTCAACCTGTTTTTTCTCATGGGTGCAGAAATTACTTGAGAGTGTTCTGGCTTTCCTGTCTATATCCTCAAGGAGAACATTCCCTCCTACCCAGGTCAGATAGGACATGTGGTTGTTGTGTGACATGCATTCAATGTAGAGCTGCCCCTCCTCATGTCAGACCTCCTTCCATTGCTGCAGGTTATAATTGATGATTACAGAGGAGAGGATGAAGACAAGGACCCCTACCCACCTTGTGATGTCCCAGGTATGGTGCTGGCCTCAGTGATGTGCAGCTTGACTTTGTAGACTGAGGTTCAGGTAGATTCCTGAGGAAGCACTCAGGTTTACTGTGGATATATCATTTTCTGTGGCCATTTACTTCATCTAGATAGTGTGGTGCTGTTGGGTTCAATCCCCTTAGGAACCAGTTAACTTCCCATTTTTCCTTGGGGCACAGGCTTTGGTCCTGACTCAGATTAGCCATCCTGCAAGTGGCCAGTGAGGGTGAACAATTCTTACTGGGGAAGCACCCAGCATGTATGCCCTTTGATGTTGGATGGCAGTTGTCATCTGCATGACCAAAGAGCAGCCTGTGTTTGACCACAGGACTTTACTGTTAGGAAAGAGGCCACTCAGAGCAGCAGCAGAAGAAGCATCCACTTGAGATTCTGATCCCTTTCTTGTCATTTACTGTTAACCTTCCAGTCTAGAAGGCAAGGAGTTGTTTTCTTCTTATTTTCTCTTGTTATCTATACACTTGCCTCTAAATGGAAAAGTGAAACCCTTGGTCAGTCAAGTGGTTTGATCTCCTGACTTCCGATTCTTGTTGGGGTGCTCTTTCCACCATTGCAAGATGAAGCCTTCTGCCTAGTAGAGTGCTTCATAAGCTGCTGTGGCAAAAAAGGGGGCAACAACTAGTGGTCAGCCTTCTGGGCAAAAAGCCTTTCCTACCATAGCTAAAGTGGGGCTCAACCAGCACATGTAGCCTTGTCCCCCTGGCCTTGCCAGCAGCGTAGGACTAGCAAGAGCCCTCCCCCGCTTTGTGGGAATGGCCTTTTAGAATCCGCCATCATCTTCTTTCCACATGGAATCATTAGAGTGGGATTCTGTGTACCCACTGGGGACCTGGGGAGGTACACAGCCTCAAAGATCTTTGGGTGTCTCACTCTCTTGACTTTTGTTGTAGCACAGGGGAGTAGAATCCCTATACCCAGCTTCTCCTTGGAAAACAAAGCCATGAGTCCAGCTAGACACAATCAGTGTTACAGAATGAAATGCTAAAATGTCCTCAAGGGGCCTTGTTTTCATGCCCAAAGACTTTCTTGCTCTCCCACTACAGCCTAGGAAGCATTCATGATGTGCAGTGAGGGGGACTATAAGGGTTTGGGTGTGTTATATGGATATGTGTTTTAAATTTCAGATTTGTTTGCATTATTATTTTGATTGAAAATATAATCTTTTATTTCATGCCTATAAAGACATTTTTATTCCAAGTAGGTGAAGAGGAAGAGGAAGAAGAAGATGAACCAGAGGTCCCTGCTGGTCCCCGCCCTCGTAGAATCTCCGAGTTAAATATGAAGGAGAAGATTATCCCCATTCCCGAAGGGAGCGCTTTCTTCATTTTTAGCAAAACAAATCCGTAAGTATGCCTGCTTCGGCGTCTTCATTTCTCAGCTTTATTTGTAAGCCAGCATTAGCAGTTAGGCAAAATTTGCAGGAGGAGTGGATGCCCTGTTCTGGGGGAGGAGCATTAGCTCCCTCAGCGAGGATGCTGGAGCAGCAGTCAGAGGACCTGGATTGGAGTCCTAGTGCCACTGCATACCACCTGATCTCAGGCAAACCACTTAACCTTGTACGCCTCGGTTTCCTCATTGTAAAAGAGCCTCTGTTTGGCATTTAAAGCCCTGTTAAACAGGATCCTTTTCTTTCCTTCCTAACTTCTTACACTCCCCATAGGCTACCCTCCAGCAAACACTACCTGACTTGCTCTTCCTCCCAAATGACCCTTTGTGACTTTGGACTTTGTGACTTTTCACTGGCTGTATCCCATGCCTGGGATGCTTTCCCTTCTCACCTCCCCATCCTGGCTTCTCTGGCTGCCTTCAGTACTCTGCTCACACTCCACCAGCTAGGTGGAAGCACTGGACGGAGTACTGGGCCTGGAATTAGGAAGATCTGAATTCAAATCCAGCCTATGACCTTGGGGAAGTCACTCTGTTTACCTCAGTCTCCTCAGCTTTACAACGGGGATAATAATAGCATCTACCTCCCAAGGTTGTTTTGAGGATCAGATGAGATAATATTTGTTAAGCATTTAGCACAGTACCTGACACATAATAGGTGCCGTATAAATGTTGGTTATTATTATTATTTATCACTACATTTTGCAGGAGGCATTTCCCTGACCTCCCTCCTCCTCTACCCCAAGTCAGTGCTTCCCCCTCTGAGATTGTCTTTCATTTGCACTATGTCTTACATGTACATAGTTACATGCGTGTTGTTTCCCCTTTAAAATTTGAACTCCTGGAGGGTGGGGACCATGATTTTGCCTTTCTTTGTATCTTCAGTGCTTAGCACAGTGCCTGGCACACAGTAGGTGCTTATTAAATGCTTGTTGACTGACTGAGAAGATAGAATTAATGACCTCAAGGGTCCCTTCTAGCTCTTAATCTCAGCTCCTGTCCCCCTTTGCCCTTTAATCACCTCCTTGCCTTTCATTATATCTCCCCCAACAACAAACCTGAAGTGATAGGATTGACAGGATCCACTTAGGGGTAGAAAAGGGATCACTGAGCTCGATTTCCCCTTGCACCAAACTGCCCCTGTGAAGGTCTAGTCAGTAAGTAGCATCCCTTCTTCTCTGGGCATTGTTATTCTGAAATGATGCTTTTCCTAGCACAGTTCATCTAGAAACCAGGTTAACAGATTTTCCTGGTTTGGCTTCCTCAACAGCACATGAGAATTTTAGGAGCTTGCTTTGGGTTGGAGGGAGGAATCTCTGGACCATTTTCATTCTATGTCTCTACTTCATTCATCCTGCTGACAGAAGTTTGTGAAGCTGAGGTGATGTTGTTCAGGGATGCTCTACACATCCCCGAGTGACATTCTCTTTGAAGCGATCCTCAGGTTGCAGTGAAAAGATGTTCACTAGGAGTCTGGTAATTCTTTGCCTTTCCTGCTGGAGGGAGGATTTGATTTACAAGTCAGATTCTAGGTTCAGTCACCTAGGCCACAAATGAGAAGCTTGGAGAATCAGTGACTCGTTGGTAGATTGACTGTAGTTTCTGGCTATCGTTTACAAGCTCAGGGAGCACAGATGCACCTTGTAAGATGCTGAACACCTTCGGACTCTTAGAGTGTGGTAATAGTTGTTTTATGTGTATATGGTCATTTCTGGTATATCTTTCAATAAGTTATTAAACTGACACTGCCAGTCGGTCAACAGGCATTGATTAAGTACCGACTGTGTGCCAGGCACTGTGCTAAGCATTGGAGAGACAAAGAGAAACAAAAGACAGTCTTCCTTCAAGGAGCTCACAAGCTGATGGGGGAGACAACAAGCAAACCACAGGATACCCAAACTGTAGACTGGATAAATCGGAGATAATTGTCTGAGAAAAGAAGCACTGGCAGGAAAGGGGATCAGGGAGGGTTTTTCTTAAAAGGTGCATTTTATTTAAAGGAAAGACTTAAAGGAAGCCTGGGAAGTCAGTAGTTGGAGCACGGGAGGGAGAGTGTTCCAGGCCTGGGGGACTTCAGAGAGAATGGCCAGAGCTGAGAGATGGAGGGTCTTGTTCATGGAACAACCAGGAGGCCAGTATCAGTGGATCAAAGAGTTTGGGGGGTGAGGTGTAAGGAGACTGGAAGGCAGGGGAGCTAGGTTATGAAAAGGCTTTGAATGCCAAGAAGAGCATTTTGCATGTAATCCTGGAGGTGATAGGGAGCTACTGGAATTGTATTAGGTGGGGAGGGGGTGATATAGTCGCCTGGGCTTTAGGAAAATCATTTTGGTGGCTGAATAGAGGATGGATTGGAGTGGGGAGAGTCTGGAGGCAGGCAGACCTTCCAGCAGCTATTGCAGTAGTCCAGGTATGAAGTGTTGAAGGTCTGTACCAGGGTGGGGCAGTGTCACAGGAGAAAAGGGAGTATATTCCAGAGATATTAGAGAGGTGAAATCAACAGGCCTTGGCACCATATTGGATAGGAGGAGTGAGAGATAGTGATTGTTCAGGATGACTCCTACAGTGTAAGCCTGAGGGACTGTGGGAAGATGGTGGTGCCCTGGACAGTCATAGGTAAGGTAGGAGTAGGAGAGAATTTAAGGGGATAGATAATGAGTTCTGTTTTGAACATGGTGAAAAATGTCTACAAGATATCTTATTTTGTCTTTGAGGTAGTTGGAGATGTCCAGTGAGCAGTTTGAGTTGTAGTCAATGATCTTTCTAAAGTGCAGGTACAGTCGTGTCACCCCCAGCTCAGTAAACTCCCATTGTTCTCTGTGGTCTCCAGGCTCAAATCCAAAATGCTTTGGGTGGCATTTGAAACCCTTCACAACCTGCCCCCTCTCACCCTACCAGGCTTCTTATACTCTCCTCCTCCCTGTCTCTCCCACGTCCTCGGCCTTCATGGTGCCACTGGCCTCCAAGATACCATATCTCTGGACTCCAGGCGTATTCACTGACTGTACCATGTGCCTGCAGGGCTGTGCCTCCTGGCTTCCCTGGTTCTCTTCAAGTCCCAGCTACCATCCCATCTTCTACAGGAAGCCCTTCCCAGTCTCTCTCTGTTGATTATTTCCATTTCATCTTGCAAATGGCTGGTTTGCTGTAGTTGTTGCATTCTGTCTCTCCCACTGGTCTGAGGTCCTCAACAGCAGGGATTGTCTTTTGCTTCTTTTTGTATCCTCAGCTTTGCACAGCATCTGCCACATAGTAGGCACTTAATAAAAGTTTATTGATTGACAGACTCCCCTGCGACATTGGAGGTCAGCACACAGGTTGGGGTTGAATTAGTAGGTCTAAGAATCATCACAGATTGATGAGAATTGGATCCACAGGAGTTGGTGAGATGACCGAGTGAAGTGGTATAGAGAAAGAAGAGAAGAGGGCCCAGGGCAGAGCCTTGGGGACACTCATGGTTCATAAGACCTAACAAAGGACAATGAGAAAGAGAGATAAACAGGGCGAAGAAAACGAGGAGAAAAGAGCGTATCAAGGAGAGGAGGACCAACCACGTCGGAAGCTGCAAGATCAGAATGAATGAAGATGAGGAAAGTCACTGGATTTGGCATTTCAGAGATAGCTTAGAAGTAAATGAATGAATGAAGCATTTATCGCGTGCTTACTGTGTGCAAAGCATGGTGAAAAGAAAAGAAAGTGGGAAATCTAACCCAAGTAACAGAAGTCCTCAAAAGCAGTCTAGACCAAACAAATCCTTAATTCGATGAGACAGGAAGAAATATTAGAATAAAATAAAAGTACTGAAAAAAAAATAGAAGAAAATGTCAGATGCCTGATACCAGAAACAACCAACCTGCACAGTTGGTCAAAGAGAGAGAATGTAAAATCATGATTAAAAAAAAAAAAGGAAGAAACCTTGAACACTGTATTTTAAAGAATTACGGATAAAAATTGCCCAGATGTATTAGACCAGAGGGCACGGTGAAGATGGAAAGAATCCATTGATTACCTCTCAAACCCCAAAAGTAAAATTCCCAGGAATGTCATGGAAAAAATTAAGAGTTCCCATATAAAAGAACAGCCATCCAGAAAAAAAAGCAGGTTAGGTACCAATGAACCAAAATCAGGAACACGTAAGACTAGACAGCTTCTACAATGGAAAAGAGGAGATCTTCTAATATAGTATGACCATAAAGAACTTACCCTTCGTCACTGAGTATCAAATAGATCTTTAATGGAATATATGATTTTCAAGCGTTTCTGATTTTTTCAAGAACAGAGCCAACTAAAAACTTTAGAATTTAAACAGAAGAGTCTAGAGACCTAGAAAGGCAAATTTATTTTAGCAATTGGAAGAGGACTATATGAAGATTTAGTGCTAACCTAATGGGGAAAGAAATTTGTCCCTTCGGAACCTGAATATCTTCAAGGTGCATTGAAAGACACTTATATACCCCACACACCAAACTCATATGGAGACAAGCTGAGATGCAAAGGAGGGAAGTGAAGCAGGAATAGACAGAAACAAAACAAATGTCCTGATCCTGAAGAGGAGCTTGAAGGGGATGGGGGGAAGGACTGGAGTCTAAGGGGGTGCCTTATGTTACTTTTTAGTGGCAAATGGCAGAACAAATTGCGGTGCATGAATGGAATGCAATATTGCACCTGAAGAAAAAAAGAAAGAAACCATCAGAGAATCCTGAGTAGTAGGAACTGATGCAGGGTGAAGTGAGCAGAACTAGGGGAATCAATCACATAAAAACAAGAATGCTATAAAGAAAAGCATTTGAAAGACCTTCGATCACTGATCAGTGTAATGACCTACCTTGTCTCTAGAGGAGCTATGATGAAGCATCTTACCTCTTTCCTGACAGAGAAGTGATGGTGCTCAAAGAATCATACAGTTTTGGACAAAGCTACCGTGCGGATTCATTTTGCTTGATTTTTGTTTTGGTTTCTGATTGGGAGTAGGGAGAGAAGGAGGGATTAACAGTACTAATGAAAAAAAAAGAGGGCCATTGAAACATTTTCTTAAATGCGCAAGAAGGACGTTTGAAAGGAAGGAGAGACAAGCAAGGCAGTTTTGCAAGTAGAATGCAGAATTTATTATATCCTTTTAAAAGCCAGTATTGCAATAGGGAGATGCATGGTTTCCTGTAGATCCTTTTGGAAATGCCCTTTGTTTTGGTGTGGAAGTTCAGAATAATGTGTTAGCGTTGATCAGGACCATTTCTCTAGGAATGTACCAGTTCCCTGGTCATTGGACAAGGGACGATGGTTTAGAGTCCCCAGAGTTAAATCAGCTGTGTGATTCTTTGTTCTCTCCACCAGGTTATGGCAACAGCAGAAGGGGTCACATGAAGTGCAGAGTCCTCTTGTTTGTTCCTTTTTTTTCCTGGATTGCCTTGACCAAAAAGCCATCTTTCTGTGACAATCCTGTAGGGGCTGAGCCTCTCTCCAAGCTTTAGCAGAGGCCCATCCTTGGCCCTTTTTACCACATGTTCTGTTGGAACAGGCGTCCAGTACTCAGAGTCCCTACCATGCTCTCAGGAGACACCTGAGTAGGACTTCTGTGGCAAGGCAAATCTTGTAACCACAAATAACGTTTAAAGCAAAATCTCTGTTTGTTGCAAGCCGTGGTTGACACATCTAAATGTTAGTGAGGTACAGGATTTTGGATCATTGCTCTAAGTTTGATGTAACGGGATTTTATTTCTTCTCTTTTCTGAAAGTAAGAACAACAGCTTATTTACCCATCATATAGAGCTGTCTAGAAAAACCTTGCCCCTCCCAACTTGTAAGTAACACCATGCTCCTTTTGAGGTGGTATCTGAAATGACCACTGTGTTTTCTTCCTCAGAATTCGAGTGGGCTGCCACAGACTTATCAATCACCACATCTTTACCAACCTCATCCTTGTCTTCATCATGCTCAGCAGCGCTTCCCTTGCCGCTGAAGACCCCATCCGAAGTCACTCCTTTCGGAATATCGTAAGCCAGCAAGTTTGTGGACTAACTCTTATACGTGTGAATCAGGGGGCTTCCAGCGTGCTGTCATTTTCTGTTGATTTTGCCAGACTATGTGAGGTTGTTTCAGTGTAGGGACTCTAAAACCATTTGTATTAAATTTTTATGTACTCTTTTGATGTAGATGAATTAAAATGTTTGAGATTTGTAGTGTTATTTAAATGTAATCTTTATGCTAATTGGAATTAGTGGTTTTGCAAATTATTATTTAGAGCTCAGAGGGAAAACCTGAATTCATGGTTTAATTTTCCCAAATGATTACGTTATTTTGGAAAACCTTTTATTCCTTAAGTTGCTTATATTCAATCTTGTGCCATATCACATAAGAGTTTGGAGTGGATGACACAAATGTACCACCAAGTCTGCATTTTCTGAACTTCTGTAAAGGTTTCTTTTCCAACTGGACATTTTAAATTATCCAAGTCCTGCTTTCCCAAATCATGAATTTTCTAGGCCCCTTGCCTTCTCTTTCTTTCTCCCGGTTCCTGATTCCAGCCTTTTGATAACCCCTCTTTAAGCCTTTCAGACCATGAAGGTTGACAGCATGCATTTCATTCAGTTCAGTGTGTTCTGTACCAAGAAGCCTTATTGTAGGTCAGGGAGCTGCAGTCTTGCTGTGGCTCTTCAGGTCTCTGAGCTCCGTTGGGCACCATTGACGTGGGGTGGTGGGGCAGCACATTGATTCTAATGGGAAATGAGGACTTTAGGCTCCTCCCGTTGAAGGTGAAGATCCATTCTACAACTGGCCATTCCCAGAGGAAATCAGCCCCTGGGGTTTTAGATTTTCTGTCTGTAATCTCTTTCACTGCAGGGAGTGTTCCCTATGCATTTGAGTTGTGCTGGATCACCAAGAACTGGTGTTCCACTCGTACACTTTTTTATGTGCTGAGAAAAAACTTTGTACTAGAAATCAGTCCTGCCCTGACTCATCCTTCTTTAGATTTTCAGTTGAGCCAAGACTTTGAACACATACACACATACCTCCTCACATAAAAGAGGTGTGTGTATACAGTCTGTTTTATAACCCATCACCCTTCCTCCTCTCACTTTGCACTGAACACCCCCACTACTAGCCACTAGTATTATGTTTCACTTTCTGGTTTTCATGAAGATAGACACCTATACTGGTCACAGTATCATGAGGTCCTCACCATTCTGCCCTGGTTGGTGCCTCCTCTAATACATCTAATTCTTAGCAATTTGGAGTTAGAACAGGCTTCAGATCAGTGTTGCCCCTGAGTCCACAATCAAGAACACTGTGACTAGGTAACATTTTTCCGGCTATCCCAACAATCCTGGCTTTGAAATTTGGAATATTATCCAATTTATCAGACTCATAGGACACCCTGTCTGCTGTGAGGGAGAGAAAAAGCACTTAAAAAAAAAAAGAACAAGTATTGTACATTGTCACTGATATAAAGATCGTGAGCTTGAGCCTGATTATACTTTATCATATGGAAGAATTATAGTGTTTAGAGAAAATTCTGTTGAGCCCTATTTATTAATATAAAACACATGAACAAGGGGGCAGTCAGGTGGCACAGTGGATAGAGCACTGGCCCTGGAGTCAGGAGGACCTGAGTTCAAATCTGGCCCCAGATACATGATACTCACTAGCTGTGTGACCTTGGGCAAGTCACTTAAGCCTGATTGCATTGCCAAAAACAAACAAACAAAAAACAAACCCTAATTAAATAAATGGCCTCTGCACAAGTCTAGTGTGGACAAAAGAGGGTTGCGTGTGCCAGACTTGCCAGACTCCAACCTTTCCAGGGGGACAGTGGGAAGCCTGGGGAGTCCCTGGAATGCTGTGCAGCCCTCCTCTCAAGCTGCCCTTAGGGAATGTCTTTTCTGGCTGCTGACATTGCTGGGCTCTGTGGGTCTTACCACTCCTGTGGATGCACTTTTTAAAAAACTTGTGAAGTATCTCAGTGAATGAAAAGGTAGAAAATGGAGATGAACTGGAATTGAATCCTAGAGCTCCAGGAATCCTCACCCTCAGGAATTTCAGCTCCAGCTAGTCACAAATCCTTTTTCTTGGCCATCCCCATTCTTCTTGAGCTGATCTCAGCCCTGATGCAGGCGGCAAATAGGGAGTCATGGGGAGAGACGTGCAGGTACACTTAAATGTGCCTTCTGTGGCCTGACACGTAAGGAAACAAGCTCCCAAATGTCTGAGGGAATTTAAAAAACCCAGTATCAGCTTGACACTTAATTAGCTGTGTGACCCTGGGCAAGTCACTTAACCCCATTGCCTAACAAAAAAAAATAATAATAAAAAAGAAATACAAAAACCTAAAAAATTACCCTTCCTTAAAAAAAAAAAAATGGGCAGCTAGGAGGTGCAGTGGATAGAGACCAGCACCGAAGTCAGGAGGACCTGAGTTCAAATGTGACCTCAGATCAACCACTTGACACTTACTAGCTGTGTGACCCTGGGCAAGTCACTTAACCCCAATTGCCTAAAAAACAAAAACAAAAACAAACAAACAAAACTCAGTGTCAGCAACACGACTTCTTAGAGAAAAAGCAAATTCCCTCTTCCTGCCCTCCTCTCCCCCCCGCCAACCCCTATGGTCAGTTCCTCTTATTGAAAATCTTGTTTTAAACATTGGCCTTTGCTTTATTTTAACATGAACAGCAAGGAGCTGCCCCAGGGTTTGATCATAATATATATTTTTGAATTTAATGTGACCTTGCTCTACAAAGTGAACACATTTCTTGTGTCACGGAAAGAGCATTGAACTGGCAAACCAGGAGACTCAGTTTCTCATCACAACAGATTTGCCTTGTGACTTTGGCAAGTTATATCACTTCTCAGTTACAGTTCTGTGTTGTAGTGGGGTTGGAGAACATGATCTTTAATGCCCTTGTAACTATGTGATTTTCTAGGATTAGTGGACCAAGAAATTCATACAATGTCCCATGGGCAAATAAGAAATATTTAAATTCTTGGGTATTTGAAGATTTTCTGATCTTATATATTATTGAATGTAGGAGCTTTCTTGGGTCCTAAAAGGTTTCCTTATCTTACTACAAGAGTACAGGAATGGTCACTGTCTGAAGGAATAGGTTTCTCATTCCTTGCTTCCATTATGGCCTTAGGAGGAGCAGAAAATGCAGACAGGGCAGCCAGCCTTCAGCCAGCACATACATCTGCATCATTTCTCTCTCCTCCTAATGGAACAACTGCCCTAGGCAATGTAACTCACTTGCAGTTCACCATCTCCTGGTCAGCGAGGCCAGTGAGGGAACCCCTTCATGCTTAGCTGACACTGTCAGAGAGCAAGGAAATGAGGAGGGGAGTTGTTCCAGGGAGACCTTACAATCCCAGCCAAGAACCAGGGGGAAGTTGAAGTCTTCCTTGAGTTGGCACCATTGTTTGTTTGCTTTGCTCTAGCAGGCTGAACCCAGCGAGGGCTGGGGCATCGTGCTCCAGTCTCAAATCTACTTAGAAGAGATGGATAGAGAGGAGCATTTCGCCCACGAGCACGTTCACCCACGTGGTCCCAAGACTGAACGGCCCTTAGTTAGCTTTGGAGTCTTACTGATGACTTTGTGGTCAGGGGCTGGGCGGTATGTGAGGGGGCTGCATGGGGTGTTCTGTGACTCTAAGGCTGATTCCAGCCTGTTTTCCTCACTCTGCCGCCTGTTGTACCTTGCAGATACTGGGTTACTTTGACTATGCTTTCACAGCCATCTTTACTGTCGAAATCCTGTTAAAGGTAATGGCGTTTTCATCAGTCCTTGCATGTGCTAAAGCAGCTTTCGCAATAATAGCTTCAATTTTGTGCTTGCTTTCCAGATGCTAGGTTACGCAGATTATGTCTTCACTGGTACTTTTGCATTTGAGATCGTTTTGAAGGTAACAGGTTTACCCAGACGTGTGTTTAGAGGACGCTTATTCCTGGGTGTAACCTGCCCAGGAAGGACGCTTGAAGTGTTTTGTTTTGTTTGGGGTTTTGTTTTTTGTCTTTTCTGCTGAAAGCTAAACTTTTTTTTTCAGTCCCAGAACATATTCTGTAACAATTTCTATTTGTTTTTGTTTTATTTTTTGGAATTTTGAATGCATGTAGGAGCTACTTTGCTTTATGATATTAATGAGATCATTCATTTTGCTCCTTTAAAAAATTATACTGTGTCAGTTGCTGATATGTAATTCACTGTGTGTGAGCTTTCTTTTACTCTGCTCTGACACGTAAAGGAAAACATCCTCTTTTATGAAGGGAGCGTTTCATTTCTCATTTCTCTTGCTGGATTATATTTTCAGAGACTTAAAATAGTAAACTGCTATTTTCTTGCAACAGGATTTGCAAGATAACTTGGGTTTATTGATGTGTTAATATATTCTGCATCTGTTTTAAATATGGGCTTATTTAAAAAACCATCAAGAAGTAAACATAATAAGACAACTTAAATGTCTGGCCTTTGCATGACTGAAAAGTTGGCGTTGCCCCATGGAGTTTGTGTACTGATTGTGAGGGACGCCCTCTAGGGAGTGCACACAGGTCCTTTTTGACCTCCAGTGGAAAACTGGGAGTCGTCCATGACCCACTGGACAGCAGTCAGCACATCGTTAAGCGTAGGGCAATGTGCTATTGGGAGCTGGTTTGAAATGTGTCTAATGCCTCCTTCCAGCTCTAGACAGTGCAGGCTTTTCTCAAGGAGCTGAGCCTTAGGCAAGTGGACCCCTGGGTGCTAGAGCCTTTCTTCCTCCATGAGAATCAGTAAACAAACTGTGTAGTTCTGAGTCTTAACCAGATCATGCTTGATAAAGCCATTTTGGTCTCTTTTGTGTGTATCCTTTTAAAAGCATATTACGTATTTATATGAAATCATATGGATAACTTGGGCTGTTTACAAGATGACTTGTAAAATAGAACTTGGCTCTGAGCCACAGCACACTGGTTAGGGGAGAATGTATTTTATGGTATTGTATGGGTTCACACTCTTCCGTGAGGGTCTGAATCCCTTTCCCCACCTTACTTTGGATAATCTAATGAGCCCATGACATCTTTCTCCAAAGACACGGAATCTAGCAGTCCATCAGGGTCATCATTCAGAGTGACAATAATGGTTGTATATACGTGGAGATGAAGATGTGAAATGTTTGGGAAAGTGAGCCCAATGTGTACCAATCCAAATTTTACTCTGGAAATTGTTTTTAAGTAAGACACTGAGGTTGACTTCCTTCCCCCATAATTTGCCTCTTTAATCTTAGCATTGAAGACTGAAAAACTCCAATTAATCCATTTTTTCTATATTACAAATTTTTTAGTTATCATTTAAACGCAGTTACTCTGTGCTCATTTGACTGGATCATTTTAAAAACTGCCATAGTTCGGCAGTTCCTTCACAATGACTTGAAATGTAGGTGTCTGCACCTGGTTCCTGACAGCAAAGTGAAATAGAACAAGCAGGTGACCCGCTACAGTGTCCCAGCTAGAGCTCCTTTCTGAGGTGAGAGAGCAGTCTGTTGAGAGAAGTGATGGAGCACTGTACTTGCTCCCTTTTCTGGAACTCTGGCATCCATGTAAATGTGTATGCCCTATGGTCAGTGTACTCACTCAACTACTTTTCTTTGTAGGAAGTATCACTCTTTACTCCTCAAAAGTATCTCTCTTCTTCAATACCCCATTGAAATTGAACAAGAATTAAAAAGCTGTCTTGGTCTGTGGAACTTTATGTTGGGTAGGCCTCCAGTCAAGGGATACCAAGGGTCCAGTAGCCAAGGAAGGCTCTGACTGGTTACCTTCCAAATATGCTGCTTCTGTCTTAACTTGAACCCTCTTTTCTGGGCAGTTGGTGACCACCAGACTTATCCTTACTCTTGGCTTGGGTAGATATCATGCTGGAGTTATTTTCGTAGTCAAGCTCATGTGATTGATACTAGTACTAGTATCTAGATTGATACAGTACTAGTCAGATTATGGAACCAGGAGGGTTTTGAACATGTATGTGGGAGTGTATTTATACCCAACTGATATACAGGTTATGACTTTAAAGTCATGAGACTGGTTTTCACGTGTGGTGTGTAAAACCCGTTTTATTAGAGTCAAACAGCATACATGAATGTACTTGATTATGGGAGTAAGGGAAGGGGTGGTCATGAGAGATTTCTAAGGATTTTGAGAAAGGTGATGCAGGTTTCTTATGGATGTGGAACTAGTGGCCAACAGTGAAATTCAGGACCAGCTTTCTTTCTGTTTCCCTAATGAGAAAGCTGTTTTGGGACTTTGCAATTATCTCTCAGGGGTCACTGACACCCAGTACCCTCATATTTTGGTGGACTCCCTATGCAAGTGGGACAACAAAAATAGACAAAATGTCATCTCTCAAGGGGAACACTATTCACAAATGTCAAATAAGGCCACTAATGAGAATTTAATCACTTATTGTTGGAGACACAAATTGTTTCTTTTAAAAATTTTTAGTTGTACCTTAACTTAACTGTTCATGTGCCCATATTCTTTCAATCCAAAGATGTCAGTTAAGCAGCAGTTCACTTCCTTTGGTTTTATATCATCTTTACCACATAAATAATGTTCACTAGATGATACGTGCATATCCTCCTTAGGGGTCTTATAAACAGCCCAAGTGGAGGCACCCCTGGAGAAGGAGGGAAACATTAAAATTACATGTAATTCTCTTTGTAGATGACAACCTTTGGAGCATTCCTTCACAAAGGGGCATTCTGTAGGAACTACTTCAACTTGCTGGACATGCTGGTAGTGGGTGTGTCTCTGGTATCATTTGGGATTCAGTAAGTAACCCAGTCATGTCTCTGTGTGTGTATGTATATGTGTGAATGTGTGCATGCACACATGCATACCCACAGTCACTTTGGAGGTTGAGACATTGTGCCCTTCTTAATATTTTGGAAATGCTAGTTTATAGAGGTAGGGTGAGGAAGATAGCCTAGTTCCATCGGTAGGTATCCATGAAATTTTGGGATAGATAATTCTTGATGACAACCTTTAAGTAACCAGTTTCTCAATTTGTTTGGCAATGGCTCACGTTTCCTGCTATTACTCCTTGCCTTTTCTTCATTCTATTCCTATGTATTAGTTGATGGCTTTTGTGGTGTTAGGTTTACTCCCAGGAGTCCCTAGCTGGCTGATTGTAAAGTCTGACCTGATGGATTATAAGGCATCATCCACCATCATGTCTTCTTTGACTCCGGGCATTTTCAGTAGAGAGGAGCATGTGTCTTAAAAGCCATTGCCAGGTATCTTTTTCTGCCCCTTGGGGGTGTTTCAAGCAGGAAGGAAGGGGATGGCTAGAGACCTTCCACCAACTCCCTTCAGTGCTTGAAATACCCATGAAGCCCAAGGTAGAAATCACGTGCCCTTCAGCCACATCATTTTCCTGACAAAAATACCTATGGCATTGAAGTACCTATTTCCTAGCCTGCTTATTAGCATTCTTTCTCCTGCTCATGATCCCAAGGAACCAAGTAAATAGAAAGGATTTCCTTCTTATTAAAGATTGAGAACTTCTGTCTTGTAGACTCTAAACCAGGGGTGGGGAACCTGCTGCCTTGAGGCCACATGTGGCTTTCTAGGTCCTCAAGTGCACCCTTTTGACTGAATCCAAATTTCACAGAACAAATCCCCTTAATAAAAGGATTTTGAGAAAGGTGATGCAGGTTTCTTATGGAGGTGGAGCCAGTGGCCAACAGTGAAATTCAGGACCAACTTTCTTTCTCCTTCCCTAATGAGAAAGCTGTTTTGGGACTTTGCAATTATTTATTAGTCTTTCAGGGGTCACTGACACCCAGTACCCTCACATTTTGATGGACTACCTATGCAAGTGGGATCCTTAATTCCACAATCCTCAATAAAAGGATTTGTTCTGTGAAGTTTGAATTTAGTCAAAGGACCTCACTTGAGGACCTAGAGGGCCTCATGTGGTCTCTAGTTCCCCACTCCTTCTCTAAACAGTTTTAAAATTTAGATCTTCATCATTTGTATTTTAGGTGATACTAGTCTCTGCCAGTACTATAGTCTCAAAGAAATAACTATAATGACTGTAGAGTGAATGCTGACCAATGCCACATTGAGGGAAGAAAAATATCAATTGAGGGGGCAGGGGTTTATTTAACGTTACTTTTTCAATGAACAGAAACCTATTTTCTCTCCCAGAACAACATCAAATCCATGAATTATGTTCAGTCTATTATAATGAAAGGTTAAATGAACACAATTCAGAAATGTTTAAGAGCTTTTGGATTTTCCAGGAGTCTTTGATTAGCTGGGACATAGAGACCCACCAGAAATGTTACCAGGTTGCCCTGTTATACCAGGCTACTTTCCTGCCTTGCCTGTTGTCCTAGAGATTAAAGCATTGAACCAATACCTATTATAAGCCTAAAAGAATACAATGTCTTGGTGGGAAAAGTCATATTTTGGGGGGTTTTATTCAAATTTTTACCTTTCTTCTCTTAGCAGAGTGCCTGGAACATAGTAGGTACTTTAAAATGGTAGTTGACTAACTAGCCTTGAGCAAATGAAATAGTGCTAACTTTTGTCTGTCTATAAAGGGTCTTTTACAAATGAGTCACCTCCGTGGCAACAAATGAAAACAAATGAATGACATCAGACAAGTCATGCTTCTTCCCATTTGTCTTTTCTCTAGATCAAGTGCTATCTCCGTTGTGAAGATTTTGAGAGTCTTAAGGGTTCTGAGGCCCCTCAGGGCCATCAACAGAGCAAAAGGACTTAAGGTTCTTATTCATCTCCTCTTAAAATGTGTGATTCTTTGGTATCTCTTACCCTCATGTTCCTGGCTGGGCCAGTAATGGGATTAATTACCATGGACTTCAAAGTGAGCTATATTAATGCAAGTGATCTAATTCAGTTTGTCTCCAGATAAACCCTCTCTGCTAGTGGCATTCCCTTTGTATAAGTGAGATGTTTTGCAGGAAGATAAGGAAAAACGCATTTACGAAAAGTTGTTGACACGTTGCTGCCTGGTTTGAGTCTGTAGTGTCAATTGGATAGTCTTGAAAATATCTGTCAAGTTTTAGCTCAGAAATAAATAATAATAGCTGTCCACCATACACTACTTTAATCTGATCACATATTTTATGTACCTAATCTCATTGGACCCTCTGTTATCTCCATTTTACATGTGAGGAAACTGAGGCCTAGAAAGAACTATCCAAGATAGCTTTCAAACACAACTTTCTCTTCTCTCTTAAACTCTGTCCCTTTGAATACATCATGCTTCCACAGTCAGGCTTTAGATAATGGACCAAAATATCAAAGCAAAACATCCATGTTCTTTTCTGTTGTCCCTTCTCTTCTCTCACCAGCATGTGGTTCAGTGTGTCTTTGTTGCTATTCGAACCATAGGCAACATCATGATTGTCACTACCCTGCTCCAGTTCATGTTTGCCTGCATTGGTGTCCAGCTGTTTAAGGTAGGCGTGGGGATGGATCCTCAGAAGCACTTGGGCACTGAGATGAGGGATACACAGAAAAAGCAAGATGGGCCTTTCTCTCACACTCAGACTAACTGGGGAGCCAACACTTTAAAGAAAGTTTAGCTGAAGAACATTTGGTGAGGCTAAGATGTTCTGAGGGTGCAGTAATGGGATGGATGCTGAGCGCCCTAGATAATGTAGTTAAAGTGGCAGTACCAGGGATAGTTGTTAAGGCCTATCTCATCTCATCAGAAGGAATAGGGTTGTGGACGCCCATCTCTTCTAAGTTCTATGGGCCATCATGATGCTTGGGCTAAGGGAGAAAGTGGTAAGAGTATTTCCTGAGGCCAACTTATCTAGGATGGGTTCTGGGATGTGCCAGAAGACAAGAAACATTAGGGCATCCTCGGTGGTAGTAGCTCTCCCTGCCTCCCAGTTAAGCAGGATTGGTTTTGGGATAGAGACAGTAAGGAGTGGGCAAGGTGCCTCTGGTGATGGTCAGACCCTCATTTTGTAGCTTCTCAAGGGGCTATATTTTCCTGTTCTCTTTATATTTAGGGGAAGTTCTACCGGTGCACGGATGAAGCCAAAAGTAACCCTGAAGAATGCAGGTGAGCAGCTGATGGGACTAGAACCTTGGGAGGAAGAAGGAGAGAGAGTCTGAGGACAGCTTCAAAGACCAGTCTAGACACTGACCACCCCCTCAGAGGGGTTGGCTGAACAATCTCATTCCCTGGACAAGCCTGTCTGAAGAGGTCTAGAGGTTTAGGGGTGCTCGGACCCCCCCAAGATCGCAACGACGGGCCCTGCATGAATGAATTCAACTCAAATCTTCTTCTAGCCAGAGAAATAGTTTATTAGAGATAAATCATATAGGCCAGTCTCTTAAAGAACCTGAAGATTAGTAACGGACTAGCGGGCATGAGAAAATCTCAGCATTTGAATGGAGGCCAGGGTGGATCTTATATATACTAAAGTAACTTTGGGTGGCCAGAGGAAGGGGAGGGGGGTGGTTGGGAAAAGGGTCTAGGTGAGAATTGGAAGGTCTGAGAGATTGAATAAACAATGGGAATAGATAATGAAGGGAACTGGAAGGTAGAAGTGTTTTAGGGCTTTCAAAGAGAGATAAGAGGAGTCGATAAGGAACCTAAAAGTTTTAAGGGTTTTCTGGGACCTGTAGACAAAGGGAGCCAGATTCTTTTTAGGGCTAGGGGCAAAGGTGCATCTGAATAAGATCAAAAGGTAAGGCTAAGGCTTTCACAGGGAAATAAAGGGAGTCTATAAGGAATCTAAAAGTTTAAGGGTTTTCTGGAGTCTGTAAACAAATGGGAGCCAAATCCCTTTTGGCAAAAAGGGGCAAAGGTCTCGGCTTCTGAAACTGAACGATACCCCATCATGTCCAGTGTTAGCTGCTCACAGTGGGATGATTTTGCACTAGCTCTAGTAGATGTGAGGGAATCACTTCATTTATCTGTCATTGAGATAGATTAAAATCTTTCATTATATTAAGGATTCTTAACCTGGGGTCAGTGGACTTGTTTTTTCGTATTTTGATAATTCCTTCAATAGAATTGGTTTCCTTTGTAATCCTGTGTATTGTGTTGTATTTTAATACAGTAAAAAACTTGATTCTGAGAAGGGGCACACTCATAGGCTTCAGCAGACAGTTGCCCAAGGGGTCCAAGACAAAAAACTGGGAAGAACCTCTTTAAGGCATTAGATTCTCTAGAAGTATTTCCTCTAAATTCAGGACACATTTGAATAAGTCAAGCCAGCAAATATTTATTAAGTGCTTACAGTGCTCTAGAAGTTAAATGAAAGACATTCCCTGCCTTCAAGGAGCTTACATTATAATAGAAAAAGACAACACAAAAGAGAAAGCTGGAAAAAGTCAGGGGGAAGGAAGGGGGAGAAAGGGAAAAAATGGTTTGGACAGTCCAGAGTCAAGTCCAAAGAGGAGGAGAGAGTGAACATGGCTGGCCTGGGCACTTTCCTTAAAAGAGAGGTTCTGAGAGGAACTGTCCAGTCAGAAGAAAAGGCCAAAGGGAGAAGAGTTACCATGAAAAAGTGGGGGGACCCCAGAAAGGAATGAAGCAGAAGCTTTTCTGATGGTTACCCAGGATTCCCCTCTTCCTTTGTTCTGCCATCTCTCTGGTAGGCACTTGTGTGTTCTTCAGGGTGCAGGAAAGGCAAGGAGGAATTCTATACGTTCAACTTGGGGCAAATTTTCAGTTGTGCGGAGTTGTATGGGGAGAAGACCAACCATTGGCTAATGCTGGATGCTTCCTGTGCATCATCATACCCTCCTATTCTCCATAGTCACATCTAATTCACTCACTCCTTTATTCACTTCTTTTTTTAAAAAAATTTTTTTTTTGTTATAAACTTAACAGAGATCTATAAACATGAACATTTAAGTTTGCAAAGACTCAAAAAGAGTGTGTTTGTAGTACTCTGAACTTCTCATGTGGAGTCTTTTTGTTTGTTTGTTAAGTGTCATTTAAATTTAACACAAGTAAGGGAGTCTTGTGACTGTGTCCCTTTGTGAAATCCCTTCTTTTCAGTAAAGAGTTCTTTCATGTGCTAATAGAGCTTTCACTAGAAAAGGGAGAAGGGTATATTGCTAGGGCAAAGTGAACCTTCCAAAGGGACCTGGTATGAGAACAAAAAGTAGATCACCATATTACAGGATTCATTTTACATTTCCGTTAATCAACAAACACTCATTTTATAGTAAGGTAGAGCACAGATGTTTTCTTTTATTTAGGCTTTTGACTCAGAAGTGTCTTCCTCCTTCAATTCCAGAGCTTGAATAGAGGAGGATGACTCTGAATTCCATCCTGACTTTGTTGAGATGCCAAAGTAAACAAGGAACATTTAATAGATGACTTAGGCTAGGGTTTTCAAAGTAACCTCTTTTGGAGGAAAACCATTGGTAGAATATTCAGTTTCCTCCTCCATGAGAACAGAAACTGGGTGAGGCTTTGTTGTGGTCTTTGCAGCAGCTAGTTGATAGCACTTGTGCTGTGGAGGCCAAAGCTCAATGTTCATTAACTGCTCAGCCTCAGCCTGCCTGTGCATGGCACAGTCAGCTCATACAAGTGTTCCACTGGCCAGTAGGGCGCTAAATAAGCATGTGCATGAGCACATCCCTGAGCCAGACCCATCCCCACCACTCAGAGCACCCATCCTCCTGATTCCGCATAAGTAGTGTTCTTATCTGTGCCTCTTGTTTTTAAGGAGTTGTTTTTGCTTCTTAAGAGCAAGTACTGTTTCTTATTCTTTTTGTTTTCTCTACATTGTTTTATTTTATTCCTTATTGCATAGTATACGTGTAACCATAAATGTGAAATGTTTATGTTGTGGTAGTTTTGGGTTTGGTTTGGTTTCCATTTTGAGAATGAGGGCTAAAAAGTACTGCCAGAAAACTTGGAAGTCATTGGATCATAGATTTAGGGTTGGAAGGGATCTCCTTCTAGTCATCCAGTCTCAACTCATTTTCCAGATGAATCATATTAAGAGCTAACATTTATATAGGTGTTTTATATAGGGGATCTCATTTGTTCTTTACCACAACCCTGTGAGGTAGATGTTATTATCTGTGTTTTGTAAATGGAGAAATAGACCCAAAGAGTTGAAATGACCTCAAGTTCGGAGGCTATTGAGACCAAGCCTTAGAACCACAGTGTAAAACAGATGCTTAGATAGATGTCAGAGCTGCTCCAGAAAGGAGCAGGAGAGGTAGGCCAGAGGATGGCCTCAACTCTGTGGGCTAGTTAAGGAGAATGGGAACAGTGGACGAGAAGTTCCACATGTAATATGGTCGTCACCTTTCACAAGTGGATTCACGAAGATTCCTCTTTGGTTTTTGTCTTCCTGTAGGGGACTCTTTATCCTTTACAAAGATGGGGATGTTAATAGCCCAATGGTTCGGGAGAGAGTTTGGCAAAATAGTGATTTCAACTTTGACAACGTCCTTTCAGCTATGATGGCTCTTTTCACGGTCTCCACATTTGAAGGATGGCCTGCGTAAGTATTGATTGACGTGTTCCTTCTTCTGTAAATTAGTCCCAGGATGCATACTTAGCCATTTAAAAAATTTTCCTGAACTCAGCCACCTGCCCCTCCCTCTACCTCCCTTTACTGGAAAGAGTTGCTTCTTTTTTTCACTTCCGTTACTGACCTTCTCCCAGGATATTCTGGAGGTCTTTATCTGTAGGACAAGGAGTTTTTGGCCCTTTAGAACCTAAGACATAAGGTAGAAAATGTAGGTATTAAGTCCATCTGTCGATACAATGTTAGCAGTGCTCTAGCAATAAGACCAGAAGATGAAATTGAGGGAATAAGCAAGGGCAAAGAGGAAATAAAATAAACACTTTTTGCAGGTGATAGGATGGTTTACTTGGAAAACAATACAGTCAATTAAAAATTAATTGAAAGATTAATAACTTTATCCAGGTTTCAGGATGTGAAACAATAATCATCAGATTTTCTATATATTACTAACAAAACCCCCCAGAGACAGAAAGAGAAATTCTATTAAAAATCACTACATAATATGTGAATACATGGAAATCTACCTACCAAGACACATAAAAACTATAGAAATACAACCACAGTATACTCCTTACAGAAATAAAGACAGGTATAAATAGAGAAATATTAATTGCTCATGTGTAGGCTGAGCCAATTTAATAAAATAATAGTACTGCTAACATTTATTTATTTATTCAATGTCCTGCCAATTAAACTACCAAAGGATTACTCGATAGAGCTAGAAAAATATTAAGATTCATACGGAGAAACAAAAGGTCAAGAATGTCAAAGAAAATAATGAAAAAAGGGTGAAGGCAGGTGGCCACATAGAACCACATCAAAACCAAGCGACCTCCTCAAAACTATTCTGCCCTGATTAAAACATAGAGATGTTGATCAGTGAAACACATTAGGTACACAATGTCCAGAAGCAAAAGAACAAGTTGCGTAGTGTGTGATAAACAAAACCCCCAAGATTCCAGTGATAACTCACTATTCAAGCTTGGCCACTTTGTGTGTGGAAATACAAATTGTATTTGATGTTGAGTTCAACATTTTAAAAAATAAAAATTATGTCCATAGAAAAGAGATTTATCTGTTGCCACCTCTGCTTCTCAGAGTTCTAGGACCCAATCCTCTTGGGAAGAGGGAGATGTAAGAGACATTTGGAAAGATGTCGAAGCTGCTACTCTGTTCATCCCTAATAGTAAAGATGTTGACATTTCCTAGAGAGAGCCTCAGTCATGTCCCATATATCTGTGGCCAGTTTGCTTTCTCAAGGGCAGGGCTCTCTGTCTTTCCTCATGTGTCTTCACCCAGTGACTGCCCTGTACACTGCACTGGACCAGGTCCCCTGTGCTGGACCAGGTCCCCTGTGCTGGGCCATGTACACTGTGCTGGGCCAGGTCCCCTGTGCTGGGCCACGTACACTGTGCTGGGCCACGTACTCTCTGCTGGACCAGGTGCCCTGTGCTGGCCAGGTGCCCTGTGCATGTACACTCTGCTGGGCCAGGTCCCCTGTGCTGGGCCATGTACATTGTGCTGGGCCACGTACTCTCTGCTGGACCAGGTGCCCTGTGCTGGGCCATGTACACTCTGCTGGGCCATGTACACTGTGCTGGGCCAGGTAAGCTGTGTTGTGTCAGGTACACAGTGCTGTATCATGTATACTCTTGGACCACCTGAGCAGAGTGCTTGTCTCACCAGGTGAATTGGAGATAAGTACTGAGGGAGTAGTTGTGGTGGAGTAATGAGTAGCGATTACTAGGCCTTTTGAGGAGAGGAGACCCATGGATCCATACATTTTCACACCTACATTTATTGCTTGCTGTCTTGGGTTTTGAAAAGTACCTCTCTGATGACAAATGAGGGCCAGGACTTCCCTGCTATTAATTTCTGACCAGTAGCCCAGGGCAGCAGCTGCCAACCTCAGGGAGCTTTTTGTTAGTCCAGAGTCACAGTGCTCATCCCCCATCACACTCCCTCCTCCTCACACACACTCACACACATGGGCTAGATGACACTTTTTAAAATTAAAATTATGGTTGAAGAATTGTATGGAACTTTGTAATCCATTGAAGACAGATTGGGATGTCACCAGATACTGTGGGGCAGGAGAAAGAGCACTGTTTCTTGAACCAAAGATCTTAGGTAGAATCCTGGCTCTCCTAGTTAGTGTCTATATGATCTTTGGCAAGTCACTTGACCTCATGGGACCTCAGTTTTCCTTATTCATAAAATGAGGGCACTGGACTAGATGTTCTCTGAGGAATCTTCTGGTTCTAAACTCTCTGATCCATGATCAGATGTTTACTTAGAACCTCAGAAATGCAAGACATCATAGTAGGCATTTGTGAGAGACAAAGTAGTGGAAATTCCAGTCACTCTTCCCAGACAGTTTCCAGTCTACTTGGAGAGACAAGACACACTCAAAATAAATAAATAAATAAATAAAGGAATGGGTGAACAAATTATGACATGTTAATAGAGTATTATTATGCCACAAGAAAGCATGAATATGAAGGATTCTGAAAAAACAAGGAAGAAATTGGGAAGAATTTATTAAGTCATGCAAAGTAAAGTGACAACTAAGAAAAAAAGCTTATTCAGTTGCCATGATAATGAGAAGGAAAACAACTCCAAAAAACTTGAGAACTTGTATTTGTGCCAAGACCGATACTGGCTCCAGAAGACTGACTCTTGGCAGAGAGAGGTTAGACTAGAGGCACAAAATGAGATGTTCATTTCCAGACATTGTCAACGAATGCATTCATCTGGTTTGACCATCCTTGTTTGCTGCAAGATGGGGCTTTTTTAGGGATGGGAGGAAGAGTTAGATGGGGAAAGAAAGAAGTGAGTCTCAATGAAAACTTTTAAAAAACACATAATAGAGAAGTAAGTTCAAAAGATGACCCAGACAAGTTGCAACAAGTGTGTTAAATTACATATGCACTTAATAAAAACTATGTGTTAGAAGTTGATGGTTTCCTATATAATCCTCTTGTTCTGTTTTTTTCTAAAGTTTAAAATTTTAATTTGTTAAGTTCATAATAAAAAAAAAAAGTCTAATGAATTCATCAAATAAAATAGTACATGCTGACTCCCAGAGGAATTTGGAGGACAGAACTTTCTGGTTTCCTGGTGCCTGGCAACAGGGGCTGGAACCATGAAGGAATCCCTGGCCGCATTCTTTATACCCGTGTATGCTTTCAGGTTATTGTATAAAGCCATCGACTCCAATGGAGAGAATGTTGGCCCAATCTATAACTACCGGGTGGAGATTTCCATCTTCTTCATCATCTACATCATCATCGTGGCCTTCTTCATGATGAACATCTTTGTGGGCTTTGTGATTGTCACCTTTCAGGAGCAGGGGGAGAAAGAGTACAAGAACTGTGAGCTGGACAAGAATCAGGTTAGAAGGAGATGCCCTGGGGATTCCTTTGGGGAGGGAGAGCCCAGCTGGCCTCCCCAGAGCCACAGAAAAGGGTGTCATGTGTCCAGCCATGCTGCTTCCACAAGGTGGCTTCAGAGAGGATGCTGAGCAGGGACAGGGCTTCCTCTCAAGAATTAGGAGGAGGGTACTTTGTGCTCAGGAGATGCCTCCCCTGTGTTTGAGGAGTGACTCTGTGAGTCACAACTGTTTCTGAGTCCTAACAGTCCACTGGCATGCCCACACCTCCCTACGTGTAACCACCTTGGAGTCTGGGGTCTTTCGGGGCCCTCTGCTGCTGCGTGGTTAGTAGCTATGTTCAGAAGTGACTTGAATTGACATGTCTCTCCATTTTTATGCCCACTTATGGGGAAAGGAGAAATATTCACTCTTCCCTAACATGTGTCACCTTCCAGGGTCTCAGGCTTCCTATCTGCACAATGGGAGTATTGGACGAGTTGCCATCAAAAGCCTTTTCTAGCCCTAGATCTGTGGTCTTGGGGTAGGTTTAAAAGATAAAATGGGAGCTTTCATAGGATCACATATTTAGAGCTGCAATGGACCTTAGTGGTCACCTAGACCAACCCCATATTTTACAGAGGAGGAAACTCAGACCCATACATCGGGGTGGCCCAATGGTTAGAGCACTACACCTTGATTCAGGAACATCTGAGTTCAAATCCAGCCTCAGACACTTATCCGCTGTGTGACTCTGGGCAAATTAGCCTCTGTAAAATGAGCATCAAAATAGTACCTACCTCCCAGGGTTGCTGTGAATATAACATGAGATAATATTAGCAAGGTACTTTGCAAACCTTAACTCTATAATTGCTAATTATTATCATTATTATTATTACCCAAGGTCGCACAGGTGGATCCTAAGTGGCAGAACCCAGGTTCCCTGATTCAATGTCTAACACCCTTTCCATTCATTACCCAGTGATACTTGTCAGCATAATTGATTCTGGCCACTTAGGGAAAGCTTAAGAAAAGTTGTTTGTGCTTCATTGAATTATTTCGAGTTGTAGTTGCTTCCTAGCAGCATTAGCCCCTCGATTCAGACCAGAGGGATTATTTTACAAAGTCTGTTCACACCACCAGAGGCCAGGACTAAGAGTCAGAGACAGGCAGGCCAAGGCCTACACAGGATGAGGTCCCCAGAAGTCCAGGGTCTTGGTAGGAAAATGTTAGTTTGGCCTTAAGGGTTCTGGAGCATCAAAGCACTGAACATATATTGAAGATCTGAGAATATAATGGCTCCATAGTCATGAAGGAAATGTACAGAGCAGGGACCAGGAAGCCAGGCAATGAGACCAGATAGTGTATGCATCTGGGCTGAGACAGAGAGCATGTGAGCAGCAGAGACAGGGCATGGGCTACCCCAGGCTACCATCTCTCTGAAGCCAGGGCTGCTTCTATTCTCCCTGCCACTGACCGTACCTAAAATGAACATTTTATGTGCCACGATCCCAACTGCTGTGGTGATCATGGCCTGGACAAAGCATGTCCCCATGGGGTGTCTTTGTCCAGCAGGCACGCCCAGGTGTCCTAGCCCTTCTTCCCAAAGGCCTGGCCAGCTTCGTTCCCAAATTCGCCTTCCCTCACTGGCTTCTTGCTTGCATTGTGGAGAGACTGGAATCACCTGCAGAGTTGCAAGGACTCTCACCTCTCCTGGGAAACTCTCAGAATTACATTCTTGCTCTTTCCTGCTTTTGCAGCGTCAGTGTGTCGAATATGCCTTGAAAGCCCGGCCTCTGCGGAGATATATTCCCAAAAATCCCTACCAGTACAAGTTCTGGTATGTGGTGAATTCCTCCCCCTTTGAGTACATGATGTTCGTCCTCATCATGCTCAACACCTTGTGCTTGGCCATGCAGGTAAGGAAGTCCCTTGGGAAGGGCCAGGCCCAGCATGCTCTATCACTGTCTTAGAACACGTTGGACAAGTAAACAAACAGGGACGAAGCTGAGATAGTCCTTTGGCCAGAGACTGTTGTGTGGGTATTGTTTTGTAGAAGAGGCTGTAGGCAGCATTGTTATAGAGGTTGTGTATGTCAAAAACTTTTATATCTATGTGCTTAACCCTGTGCTGTGTAGGGAGGCAGGTACAGCAATTTATAATACCTTCCCTGGCTTCAAGGAGGTAACTTTTACAGGGCAGAGGGCAGGAGCAAGGTATAGGATGAGCAGAAATAAGTAACATACTGGGTGGGGAGTGAAAGGGGAAAAAACAAAGCTCAGATAAGACACTGAATATTTTAGAATGCAAACTCCACTTTTGCCTAGGGAGATAAGGGAGGAGGTGGCCTTTGATACTTTATAATGAAGCATATACTAGTGTCTTACATGAAATATGGAGAACCAGAATGTGTAGATGACATAAGTGCTCTGAATTATTAGAGGTTTCCTAGAATTTGAGATTATTTGAAACCATGGGCAGGATTTACTTTGATTTTCATAGCAGACATTTCCAGAAGTAGAGCAATAAACTGGTCAAGTGACTACCTCCTTGTGTCTTGTGAGTTGTGTAAGTAATGACATTTGTTCCATCCTCCTTCCCTGGCACATCTGTCTCTGTGGCATGTTCTTAAGCAAAGACAAAACAAAAAACTTTGATGGTGACCCAGAAGTGACATTGCATAGGCTTTCAAGTTAGCAAAGCAAATATACACCATCTCCTTTGTTTGCCAGAGCAAATCCCAGAGGGGGAGGTAACAGAGATATGATTAGTCCCATTTTACAGAAGAGGAATCTGTTGGTTCAGAGAAATAAGGGACTGGCCATGCTCAACACAGCTAGTCAGAGGGAAGATTGAAACCCAGGTCATCCTGACTCCAAGTGCAGCATTTTATTGAAAAGGCACAATGCTTTGGCATATCTGGAATTATAGAAAAAGAGAGGCCTAAGGGAGAATAGGCAGTTAGGAATTTAAGGGAGTCTTTATTAAACATAGAACCTGCAAACCTTGATACCAGACATGTCTTAACTTAAGCCCAAGTTCTGACTTTTTGGTGGTCCCTATTTTCTCGCTGAAGCATGGTGCCTAAAACTGGGAACATCTTCCTTCAAAAGGAGTAGAAATGCCTTTCATTCTGATGAGAGAAATTGACCGCTGAATATTGTCAGAATCCCAGCTTCCAACATCAGCCTTCCTAACAAGTGGACTAGTTTATGCCACCCCACTCCCAGCTCAGACCAGGCCAAAGACTTGAGTGTTTGCCCAGTGTGGATGTCAGCAGCATCGTGTAGGTTTCCTCCTGATGTTTCAGAAACGTGAGGCTAGGGCCTTATTAGTTCCATGGCTCGGCTTCAGGTATCCACAGTGTCTAAAGAGTTCGTGTGTTCTAATGTTGACCTTTGATTTTATTACGAATAAATAAAGCACAGCAATTACTTTATAGGAAACTGCTTACATTTTCACCCACAGCATTATGAACAATCCAAGATTTTCAATGATGCCATGGATATCCTGAACATGGTCTTCACAGGAGTGTTCACTGTGGAGATGGTCTTGAAAGTCATTGCATTCAAACCGAAGGTAAGGCTCAGAGCCCAGTTACTTTAGGCTATCACCAGATCAAATGAGGATGACCTCAGCTTCCTGCTAGTGTTGTGCTATTGGATAATCATGAGTCATTCCGTATCTGTGTTATCTCTTTAGAACGTTAAAATCTGATTATGGCAGTTTTTTAACTACTAGAAAACAAGACTTGAGATAAATATACAAAGCAATTCTGAGAAAAGGCAGAGGAGGAAGGAAAGATTTGGGGAGCTACAGAAAGATGATTTTGTAATAAACTTGATTTACATTCCCGAAAAAATATTTATCACCTGGTCTCCAGTGTATTCTACCCTGTTCTGCAAGCAGTGAATTCAATGTTTAAATGCGTGTCTTTGTTACCACACAAGAATAATTCAAGATTAACGTCACATTGAGACTGTTAACGTAAGCAGGGCTGGCTTATCTCTTGCCCTGGACAGGCAACAGTCCCAGCATCACTGTCACCTCATTGTTCTACAGTCACAGTGTAGAAGATGCCAGATTACAACGGACTATCTTAAAGTCTGCTTTTTGGTTTGGTTTGTTAACAATGAAAATTCATAAAATGTTCTATGGAAGGAAGGCACGTCAGACAGTGAAATAAATGGAATTCTGCCTTAGAATGAATTAGAGGACTGAAAATGTTGTTAGTTCCCTATGGGTGGATCCATTAACATTTCCTGCAAGGGATTGGTTCTTCACTCAAAAATGTGTTCTTGGGCACTGACCCCTCACTGTGTTTTGGGTAGTAAGGCAGAGCAAATAGTAGCTAGAATACTGATGACACAGCCTCACTTTGTTTTAACAGCCCCAGTAGACAGCCTCTGTCACAGAATGACAGTTGGATAACCCAGTTTTTCACCATGTGGAAAATCTAGCTGATGAGACTCAATTATTACACTGGTTGTAATGAAATGAATGACTTTGCAGATTCCAGTTGCATGACATTCTAATTCAAACCTATTCCTTCCTTCACCTTGAATTAATTTCTTTGCAATCTTATATCAGATTTTTGTGGACCCAAAAGAAAGAACACTTGTAAGTTCATCAATGTGGGTGATTGCAGTGGGCCCTATCTGGCAGTTTATGCATGACTAGATTAATGAACTGTGACTTGTCCATATATAAATATATATATATATACACATTTCCTTCTTTTCCAAATTCATCTTAATTTACTTTGAGATTTTGGTTTGTTCACTCCTCTCATCCTGCCCTACCCTTATTATTTTGAACAATATTTGTCTATGCTGATGGAAAAGGTTGGCCAATTAATTATGTCAAAATGGCTGTTAGAATTTGGTGGGAAGATTTCCAGGGTGTTTCACTGAGCTGTTATGCTTGTAGTGTTGCTTTTTTTCCCCAAAGGTTGCTACAAATAGAGCAGAAACTTCTATCTGTTTGCAAATCCCTTCAGGAAATGCACACTGTCTTTTGCCCCCTTACAGTGATTGTTCTTTCCTCCTTTGGAGAGGAGTTCAGTGGTGTGAGAATAGACAGGTGATGCTGAGAGTAACGAGCAGCTCATTTACAGTCAGTACAAAGATATCAGATACTTCTATTAGGGGATTTCCATAGAAGTTGTGCTGGTTGGAAGTTTTTAACTCAGCAAGATCATTTAATAGCACTAAGTAACTCCAAATTACTGCCAGAAATAACTGTCCCTAAGCTGTACCCCTATGGCAGGAATCTTCGAGGGGTGAGATATTATTAAGCAAAATCGGTTGTGTGATCCAAGCAGGCAAAGATACTGGTGCTTTTTGCCCCTTTGTCCTCTTTGATGTTAAGTCAAACCCAAATTTAGAAAGAAAGGCCTGCTAATGTGGCAGTCACGCCGGAAGAAGCAGAATTTTGCTTGAAGACCTTGTAGATGTACATCTTTGGGGACAGATTTGTTCCTACAGCTGGGAAGTTCCTTACCCTGATAGGCCTCTTAGGGGAAAGCGCTTTCTAACCCCTCCACCAAAACAACAACCACCATAATTACAACCACTTGGGTTAGTAGTTCAGCAGGGCTTCCCTCTGATTTCTGCCTCAGAGACCGGGAATTTCAGCTACATCCCACTGCCTCAGCTGTATCTTAGTCATTTTCATGAACTGCAGCCTGCAAAATGTGGGAAACACTCCCTGGGTTGGTGAGCAGCCCTCCAGTCTGTCACCAGGCCTGTGTTCAAAGCCTCCTCACTTGGAGCAGAACCTACCAGAGGCCTAGCTTCACTCACCTCATCTTGAGAACCCAGACTCATTTCCAAGCCACCATGAGCTCTGGGCTTGTCTCATAACCAGCTTCACAGCAAGGAAGCAATTCACCTGGAAGTTCCAATGGCTCTGTTAGCTCCACATGAATCATCAGTGTGATATAGCAGCCAGTCAGGCAGATGTAACCTTGGGCCGCATTGAGAAGCATAATCCAGGAACTGTCGAGACAACAGTCCCTGTTGTTCTCAGCCCTGGTCAGACCATCATGAGAGCATTGTGCTTAGTTGTGGGTACCACGTGTTAGGAGAAACATTGATCATCTGTAAAATAGCCAGAAGAGGCCCAGCAGGCTGGTGAAGGGCCTTGAGAGCATGCCGTAGGGGGATCTGTGGAAAGAACTGGGGGGATGTGTAGCCTGTAGAAAGGAAGACTTAGAGGGACGTGATAACTGTCTTGAAGTATTTGAAGGATGGTAACATGGAAGGGGGTTAGATGGGGGTCCATCCTCTGCTTTCCATTTGGGATTAACCTGTTGCCTTTTTTTTTACTGGGGGTTATAATCCAGATGATAGAAATTTGTAGAGGACAAGTCCACCCCCCTGGCCACACTCACCAGGTTTCTCATGGAAAAGTCATTGAGATGGTCCAGTGGTGACCGGTGGTTTAGGGCAGTGAGGCGTGGCACAGGTTGGGCTATTACACTGCATTTATCCACACAGCATTTTCATGGGCCAGACCAGGGTTGAGAAGCCTTAAGGTGCAATCCCTCTTTGGAGATCTAGGCAGCATCTGTAATCTCCGCTCACAGTCTCACAGGAGATGACTTCAGCCACATTATTTACTTAAGAGTTATAGCCTCCAGCAGTCTGCACATTGGTGTTGGGAGACACAAACCCTGACCTTGTTCTGGAGTAGCACCCAGAATACAAAATTTGAACTCTCGCTTGCCAAGATGATGGGGCAGCACCGCATGGGTTAGGTGATAAGGCGTCGTTTTGCTGCCATAAAACACCATATTTCTGTCTTTTTGTCCATTCATAATTCGATGTGATTGGAGCTTCTAGTGTCTTCCTCTGGTCATCAGAGTGTCCTGGAAATGTCACAGGATCTTTTATTCAGGCGGGAATTTATTTACTAAGAGATAGCACTGTTTTATGTATTTAAATTCAACAAACGCTTATTAAGCACCTACTCTATGCAAGACACTGTATTAGGTTTTGTTGAGACAAAAGCAGAACATAGCCCCTGGTCTCAAGGAACCCATTCTCCCCTGGGACAATGTGACATGTTCACAAGTAAGTACAAAGTCACTGCAAGAATGTCATGCCATAGGCAACAACAGCTGGGCCGAGCGTTCCCAGGGCAGGGGCAGCCAATCAGTCACCTAGCATTGATGAAGGGGCTAAATGCCAGAGATGTAAAGAAAATAAACTATTCGCCCTTGCCTTCAAGGAGCTTATATTCTAACGGGGTGATAAGGGGGCGTAGAAGACATGAACAGAGAAGGTGGAAGATGAGCTCAGTGGAGAAGGCCTTCACAGTGTGTTTCTGTGCATTTGCATGTAGGGGGCTGGGGGGAGATCAGGAAAGGCCTCCTGCAGAAGGAGGGGATTTGAGCTGAACCTTGCAGGAAGCTGGAGAAGCTAAGGGATGGGAAGGGAGAGGGCAGCGAGGGGTTGGACATACAGGCAGCAGATGGAGTGTCATAGATGGGGGGACCTTCACAGAGGCTAGTTTGACTGAATGTGGCATCGGGAAGGTGAGGGGTAGGAAATAAGACTGGAAAATGCATGGATTTCAATGACAGGCTGACACTATTGGGTAACAGTAATCTAATGAAGGTTTTTAATGGGGACACACAGTCTTCTTGTGAGAGGGTAGAGCAAGGAACATCGAGAGGAACTAAGCTGGACTTCCCTACTGAGCCATACTGAAGGAAACCATTAGGAGAGCTTGCCTCAGAGATTCGCATTGTCCTCATAAAGGGGGAGTTAGGAAATAACTTTGCAAACTTTAAAATATATAGAAATGTGACTTTTTAAAAATTAGTACTCATGTCAAAATCAATCAAAAAACATTTATTAAGCATCTCCTTTGTGTCTAGGACTGAGCCAGGAACTGGCAGAAGGTACAGAGTTATCCTAAGGGTTGGGCCTTCTCTCATGGAGCTTTCCATCTCTCTGGCTCATTCACTCACTTTTGCCTTGTCTCCTTTGTGACACATGCAACTATTTGCAGATTATCTGGCTAGCATTAGAGTATGACCCGTGAATGATGAGCAGAGGGAGGCCGGCCGGCCGGATCATAGATTGGTCAGCTTCCTGTCTGGCCTTGTCCCAACCACTTGAAACAATCAGCCCCAGGGGAAAATGTATTCCTGTAGCTAAGGAAATTAATGTGGAAAAGTAGAGTCCTGAGAAGATCAGCTACTCAGGTAAAAATGGGGAATGTCCAGGAGGCATTGACACCCCCCCCCCCACTCCCAGCCTGGGACGTCCCCTGTCCTCACTTCTGTCTCTTGCAATCCCTGGTTTCCTTCAAACTTCAGCTCAGGATTTCTTCTATTCCTGGCCTTTTCTGATCCCTCAGCTGAGAATGCCTCCTTCCCCTCCACTGAAATGATCATGTGTATTTTGCGGATAGTCAGGTCTTCTCTGAGGAGACCACAGTCCAGGGGGATAAGATGACAAGCATCCATCCTCAATATGCTGTCTGTGGCTAGAATGGTACTGGGGAGGCTTCAGTGAGCCACCACAGGATGAATCTAAATTCTTTTTCTACTTAACAAAAAACAGTTA